AATTTACACTGTTTAGCCCCAGTCTCAGCGCACAGTAGGCACTGAGAAAATAATAATAGTTTACTTTCATCACATGGGACATTGAGCCGTAGATGGAAAATGTTTGATTTTTATAGAAGTACAGACATTGTTTTCATATGGTCATTGCTTTCAGCAATCCTCATAAAGATAAGAATAAAATATTACAATGCTATCAAGTGAGCTATAAAAGTATGATTGACCTGGTCTAGTTGGAGCATCATCCCATTCACCAGGAAGTAGTTGGTTTGATTCCCAGTCAGGAGCAAATAGGGGAGCAACTGATCGATGTTTCTCACACCAATGATATTCTCTCTCTCTCTCTTTCTCTCATCAATGAATATGTCCTTGGGTGAAGATTTAAAAAAAAAACACACAAAAAAAGTAAAAAAAAAACAAAAAAAAAAAAAAAAACACGTATAATGATTACTTGAATTTCTTTTTAATAACTTTCTAAATAAGTTCAGGTTGCCCAAGAATAAGTGTATAAACTTAAAACATGCTTATCTTCAGGTTTTCCTAGGAAGGGTATGTGTCAATGTGTTCTTTTCACACATTTATGACCTGTAGTTTATATCATGTAAGCGCAAAACAAAACAAACACACTTTTTGAAGTAATTCAATATTTGCTTTTTTTCAAAAACACAATTGACTGAATCTTGACTTAATGCTTTTCCCTAGATATCTTAATGGAGAGAACCATCTTAATTTTTACATGATTTTATCCAAGTGTCAAGATTATTTTTTTCACAAACAACACTTTAAAATTTACTAATGGAAAAATCTGTATTATAGGTTGTTTTTGCATTAGAGGTGGTAGGGTTTTTTTTGTTTTGTTTGTTTTAATATATATTTTTTATTGATCTCAGGGAGAGAGAGAAACATCAATGATGAGAGAGAATCATTATTCTGCTGCCTCTTGCACACCCCACACTGTGGATTGAGCCTGCAACCTGAGCATGTGCCCTCTCTGGGAATCAAACCGTGACCTCCTGGTGCATAGGTCAGCACTCAACCGCTGGCCTGGATAGTAATGTTTAGCGTCATCAAAGGTCAGGTCATTGGCGTCAATTCAACACCAACAGGAATTCCAGTTTGGATGCAGTAAAGAAGGAAACTTTATTTAGTGCAAACAGCTCAATTGTGACAGAGCATGTCTGTGTAAATAGTACTTCTAAGGCCTGAGGCAAGGCCCCCGTCCAGCTAGACAGCTCTGCTCTGCTCCTTGCTGGTCTGCTCTGTATGCCTGCCTAGTCTGCTCCAGAGAGATCTTTGGTGTTTCAGCCAAGGATGGGCAGCCTTAAGTGGAGAGGGAAAGTGCACTTCCAGAACCGGAGATGAGCTGACTTTAAGAGACAAAAGTCCCTGCTTCTAGTCTTTGATTGGTCAGTCTTCATGAAGTTACAACTCTTTAAATCCTCACAGTTTGATTGGCCCAAAGGACATTGTCCTGATTGGTCAGAACGGAGACCCCTCTGATTTATGAAGAAGCTGGTGGGGATATAGCTGCTTATCTCTAGGTGGAGCAAGTCTCAGTCCTGTTGGTTGAAATAGGATTCCAAGAACTCCTTCATAAAGGCTGGCTCAGATGGCAGAACACAGTGCAGGCAGACCTTTCCGTGAAGGATGCAGGCAGCTTAGCTTCTCCCTCAGGCCCTGCATAGAAATGGCTGCTAGGCTCCGCTTTCCTTCTTTCTTTTTAAATGTATTTGAGAGGAGAGGACTAGAGAGCTGGAAACATCAGAGATGAGAGAGAATCATCGATGAGCTACCTCCCACTTGCCCCCCACTGGGGATTGATCCCGCAACCCCAGTATGTGCCCCGACCGGAAACCAGACTGTGACCTCCTGGTTCATAGACTGATGCTCAGCCATGAGCCATGCCAGTCGGGTGGCACCTGGTAGTTTTTATATGCCAGGTCTTTTGAAGGAATACTTAATTGTCTTGGGGCCTTGGCTCCTCATTGGACTAGGTGATCTCTAAGATTTTTTCCATTTTAGAACTCACATATATTTTGGAAGTTGGGAATTGGTTTGTCATTAGAGCCTTAGGCAGCTCCAACAATCCCTGGTCAATCAGTATATTATAAAAAGGTTTTTTTTTTAAAGTTTTATATTGATTTTAGAGAGAAAGGAGAGGGAGAGTCTGATAGAAACATTAATGATGAGAGAGAAACATCGACTGGCTTCCTCCTGCATGCCCTCTCACTGGGGATCAAGCCCACAACCCAGGCATATGCCTTGACTGGGAATCAAACAGTGACCTGCTGGTTCAAAGGTCAACATTCAATCACTGAGCCACGCCAGCCCGGCTATTCTAGAAAGTTTTATAAGAGGTATTTGGCAAAGATAGGAACACAGATAATGAATAGTATTAAATGCTGGGGAAACTCAAATGAGTTAAGGACTAAGTTTGAGGACTATTTTTTAACAATTAAGAAGACTTTGCTGACCATAATATGAACAGCTTCAATGGAATAATCCCCTTGGATTAAGGATTGAATAAGTGTAGGTGTTGTCTAGTCCTTTGAGACCCTTTAGTGTTAAAATGGGAAGATGTTAAAGCTTGGCCGTTGTGAACTACTAAGACTTAATTTCATGTCCGTACTTGTTTCTAGATGTGTGAATGTCCCTGTTTTAAGTTGTTATCTTGGGAAATTTATCTAGCGTCGATATTGGTTTTAATCAGATACTGAATGCTCCAGTGATACAGTCGGAACAGGTAACCAGCATAACTCTGAGTTATTTAGTATTGCTTAACTGCCACTTCAGAAAAGGATTTCCTTCCCAGGAAATAGAAAAATTACTGTATTTTGTTAAAGAGTAAGTTGGTAACCTTGTGTGCTGCTTTTAAGAAACAGGGGAATTTGGCTAACTTACCTCTTAAATGAAATATTAATGGTGCTTTATTTAAATGAGCAGAACAGTGAGTAAGATGGGTAAATTGTACTTAAACTGGATTCCAATTCCTAGAATCTCTTGTAAAATGTAAGATTTAAATGAAATTTACCTTATTTTAGGATTTCTAGCTATTTCCTGTTATATTCTTTTATGGACGAAACAATTACATGGTACAGAGCAGTTTTGTTTTGTTTTTTAAATATATTTTTATCAGAGAGGACGGGGGCGGGGAGGGGAGAAAGAGAGAGAGAGAGAGAGAGAAACATCAATGATGAAAGAGAATCATTGATTGGCTGCCTCCTGCACACCCCCTACTGGGGATCAAGCCTGCAACCCAGGTATGTGCTCTTGACTAGAATCGAACCCGTGACCCTTCAGTCTGCAGGCCGATGCTCTATCCACTGAGCCAAGCCGGCAGGGACCAAAGTGGTTTTTTAACACGAGGTTCTTGTATGGGCTCTTCACAGAGTCCATGTTCCCCTTGAAATTGTCTTGTATGTATTTTTTTCTGGGGAGGAAATCCATGACTCAAAACAGTAAGACACTCTGCTCTGGAGAGGAAAAGGAAAAGGAAAATTTAAGAATAGATCTTTCATTTGCCAAAATGTCCTATGTTTCCCTAGGAACAATGGGAGTGTGAAACAACTGTATTTTTGTGGGGGTGCTTTTTTTGGGGGGAAAGGATGTTTGGGTGGTTTAAAGGATTTGTATTATTTGGCAAATCAGTTTGCCAGATTTTACTGTATGAAATCCTAAGAAAATAGAGAAAAGTTCTGCTAACCCAGATGGATGGATTTTGCCTTAGATGATAACCTAATTATTAGTTACGTCTTGATAGATAGAATAGATAGATACCGTGTTTCCCCGAAAATAAGACATCCTCCAAAAATAAGACCTAGTGCATGGAAAGATAAGACATCCCCTGAAAATAAGACCTAGCGCAACTTTGGGAGAAAAAATTAATATAAGACACTGTCTTATTTTCGGGGAAACGGTAGATAGATAGATAGATAGATAGATAGATAGATAGATAGATAGATAGATATAGAAATTCATACTGTATTCTTTATATCTCTCTTACTGTGCACAAAAATGTTTCTTTCAGGTTTTTTCCTTTCCTACCTTTGTACTCAACAGTCAGAAAATAAAACTAGTTAAGTAAATTTTGAGTCTTAAAGATTTTGAATGAACTCAGTGTTGTTGTTTTTTTTGCTTCAATTAACTAAGAGTAACTAGTTACAATAAAGTAATTAAGTTTAAAGGAAGAAGATCTGTTTCACAAACTTTTTTTGCTTAAAAATACACATCTGCATAGACAGAGGAATTGTTCTCAACACTTTTATAATCAGTCACTGGAGACTTACTCCCCGTAATACCCATTTCCGGTGGAACATAATATATGATTTTTAAGACTTTGTTTGCAAATACAGTAAGTGTATCCTTTACTTAAATCTGTTGGGTTAAAAGGACCTCACATGTGTCATAGTTAGTTGGCAGAGGGTTAAGATAAACGATGTAACCCATTTCTAGAATGGCCAGCTGGGCAGCTGCCTTTGGAGACCTGTCCCACTGCTTGTTTTTTCTCATAACACCGTTTCCTGCTGTGACAACCAAGCTGCCCTCCACGGTGGGACTTGAGTTCCCATCTGCCATCTCAGACTGCGCAATACGTCCATGTGGCTACCCCTCCCTGTTGGATGCCGTCCCCCGCAGTCAGTTCTGTTAGAACAGTGGTTTTGTCATGGTGCTTACTTTACGATTGGATGACACGGGGCACATTTTGAGAAAACGACGGAGCGAGCGGCAGAATTAGTTGGCACATGCCCGTACGACTGGCTTAGCTTGCTTCCGGCCTCGCCATACCACGGAAGAATGCCATTCTTCCCACTTCCTGGCAGTCAGAGGAGGAATTGGAGGACGCTTGAAGCAAAAGAAACATTACCTGTATCCCCAAAGTAGCTCCTGTGACGGCAGGAAAGGGCTTTGATGAAACCACTGGCCCTACTTACAGACCTTGTTTTCCAAGCCTTTCGTTGTATGATTTGCCCTTTTCTGAACTCTGCAATTTCCCTCTCTTGTAGCTGGTTCGATGCCCAGAACTGAACGCTGTGCTCCAGCTGTGGCCTCACCGGTGCTGACTAGAGAGGAAGAGCCACCTTCATAGCTTACATGTGATTCCTCTGCTTATACCACCCAATACTGGACTTACTTACTTTGGCAAGATAGCTGCATTGTGCGCTGTATTTAATGTTCCGTGTGCTGTAACCCTGGGTCTTCCTCTGCATTGCTGCGTGAAACCCCCCACCCCGCCCATCTCAAACCCCTGCCTTCGTTTACCTGCCCTTCCCCACCCCCGTAGACTCCCCTTACATTCATCCACAATGAATGTCATCTTTATTCTCTCGTTTCTTTTCCGTCTGATCTTAAACTTGGGCAAAACTTCCCCTCTATCAGTTGTCGGTTGTCAGCCTTCTTATTTGTCTTTCTGCTTTGGTAATGGGACACCTTTCGAGTCTTTCCTCTGGTCCTTTTCCTCCTGTGGTCCTGGTACAGTTGGCACGGGGGGCTTAGTGAGCATCCGCCTGGCATTGCCTGGCGATCAAATAGCTGGGAAGTCCTCTGGTTTGACCACCGGCTCAGGCTGTTACCTACGCTCTCGGGCCTCCGTTCAGGTTTCCTTCACTCCTCCTGCCCTCCATCCCTGTGGCCTCCCTCAGGACGCCCTGTCTCTCGCAGTCTTTCCCAGGGAGGGCCCGGAGGCTTGTTTACCATGGACATTCCTGACAACAAGGAAAGCGTTCTTCTTAATTGTGATTAGAATGGTCTTTAATCATTTTAAGCAAATTCTTTCTCCCCCTTCCCCAAGATATTCGTTGTTGTGGTGGGGGTTTTTTTAATGTTAGAGCTTAAAAAAACAAAAGAACTTAAGTCACTATAAATTTCTCAGGAGTGAGGTAAGGGAAGAAGGAAGGCAAGCCAGGCGATGGATTGCTCTGAGCAGGAAACAGGAACTGGCTCTCCAGGAAAAGCTAAGGCGAGGTCCTCGCTGGGTCTGGTCAGCTGTCAGGAATGGGAGGCGAGACTTTGTTCTTTCTAGATTCTGGAGCACGGTCTTACCTTCAGACTTAGAGCAGGTGTTTACGCTGGGCTGTGTGGGACTCCAGACACGGTTGTGTAAGGGCATGCTTTGGTGAACCACGGAGAGTGTGCAAGGTGTGACCTGTCTGACTTAGGGGAGATAAGGATTGGTGAGGACACTTCCCTGTGTCCCTTTTGAGTCATTTCCAAATCCCTCTGGTTTCTTAGAGTAGCCGTCAAGCTGAAGTTTGGGCTCTTACTTTTTTTTTCTATTCCCTATTTCAACAGTTTCTCCTTAGATCTTTCATCTTTGCTGGACCTAGAAGATACCTTATTGTATTTATGTTTTGAGAGTTAAAATCAATTTGGAAATCTTTTTAACATTTTCAGTACATCACATTTTATCATTACGATAAAATTTTCTCTGGTCACCAAGCATTTTTTCTTCAGACCCTACTAGACGCTTTACATACTAGCATATTAACTATTAAAGCGTATCTCACAAGTACACTGCAAAGCGAGACATAGACCGTAAAACGCATCATCTGACGGAGCTTCCACATTGGCGACCGTTAGATGTGGCTGATTTTCTTATTCACCGTCTCGCAGTGAGTGTGAGCTCACTTCGGTGCTTTCAGAGGAAGTGAATCCTCCCTGTGGTTTCCCCCTGGAGGGCCAGCATCAGTGGCTTTGTTTACGCCCAGATCACAGCCCGGTAAGCGTGGCCCCTTCCTTCAAAGGAACATCAGCTGTGTTCCCCGACTTCGGAACTAACCTCAGTGACAGCCAACTGGCCCCTCTCTTGTGCTGGGTGCTTTTCGCAGCAGCCAGGCGGCGGTGGCACGGTTCCCACGTCCATTTATGGCCCTGGAGGGCGAGAGGGACACGGCCGGGACTCTCCATGTACGGTCCTTGAGGAGTCAAAAAGCGTGGTCGGGGTGTTCTTGGAGGCAGCAACTAGACATTGTGAGATAAAAATAAATCGCAGGAGATGTTTGCGATTCCAGTTCCAGGGCCTGCCAGGAGGGCAGAGAGCACGGGGGCGAGAGCAGAGTCCACGGAGCTCTGGGAGGCGTCTGTGTCCTTCCCCTGCAGGGCTGCCCGGGACCCCCCCAGTTCTCTAAGAGCTGTGTGCTTGTGTGACCATCCCTTAGGAAGAGAAACCCCAGTTCTTTGAGGCGTCAATGGAGGCACCAGAAGAGACTCGAGAGAGGAAGAGGGAGGAAGGTGCTCAGGCAGGGGGCAGGCTGGCTGGTTTGGGGACAGGGTGATGCTGACCACCACTCTCTGTCTGAGGAATATCCTCCTTAGTGTCATGCCCTTATGATTCCTTCTGCCCATCCGGGTTTCTGGTGTCAAGAGAAGATCTGCAAAATACCTTCACTGAACTTTCATGGAGGTTCTGTCAAGGCCTCTGAGTTGTTTTAGTTCGGTGAGAACAGGTGATGTGTTGGCTTATGGGACTTCATCTCACATCTAGGAGACAGTTATGGTCTGGCAAGAGCACGCACGGAAGTCGGAGGTGACCAGCTTTTGCGCAGGCGTGTTAGCAAGTGTTTGGGAGCCACCAGAGGAAAAAAAGGGTTTTGTCTCAAGGAAACTCTCAGAGTGAAACCCAGTCAAGCAGAAGGAACATGGAGGCAGAGATGGGATAGAGACTGAGAGCAACTAAACTAAATTTGGAAGCTGGGACCAAGTCCTTGATTTAGCTTTTACAATATCGTTCAACTGAGGAAACTGGCTGATAATACGAACTATGCCTTAGAAGACCCTGAAGGGCTGTGTAAGATAATAAAGTCATCCAGGCTTTATATGTGGATTGCAGAATGGTAGTTCTATGCTGTGCGTTGGAAGGCAGAGAGATAAATGAAATAACATCCCTCTACCTCACTTTCCCCCGAAAAGGAAATGAGTGGCTTCACTTGTTGGTTTGTTGGGCTGGCAGTTTGAGTTGGTGGAATAGACTAGTCTTACTGGATGAGTTTTAGATTAGGTATACTGTTTCTTGATTATGGATGTTTGAGACATTATTGATTTGACCTCTCAAATTTTAGCCACTTCCCCAACGACAGGGTGAGTTAGTGAGGGCTATGGACTCTGAGTGATACAGTTCACTAGTAGATTCATTTAGGGGATTGTTTTTACCCTGTCTTCCCTCATAAGAGTAAGGAAGGTGATAGGCTTTGCTTCAGGGAACTCTCCTTTCTGTCCTCCCTCCCTCACTTTTCCCCAATTCTGGCCCCAAAGCAGCTCTCTCTCTTCTGTGGCAGGTGTGCATCCTATTGGCTGGCTGGTATTTCTTGTTTTCTTTTTTTTTTTTTTCTTATTCTTTTTAAGTGGGGGAGGGGGTATAAAATATGTGTATGGGGTACATGCAATAATGTTGTGATAATTATTGTTTAATTGATAATTAATTGCAAAGTAATTGTTTGAATGATAATGTGTTTTAAGTAAATGCTAAATTAGTAAATTTTTTTTTCTAATATAATAATGAATTTGAAATCTAGCATTCCTGTAACAATGTGTCTCTGTTTGTCTGTCTGTGTCTGTCTAATAGTAATTAATATCTGTGGTCCGTACCTGGAAGAGGAAGGACAGCTTTAAAGGAATAACAAAAGACTTTGTGTCTTAGACCCTTCGCAGGTGTTACAGTCGGGTGAAAGAACATGGTGTTGGGAAAAGAAAGAGCAGTTACACATTTGAACAGTTGGAACAGGTGTTTGGTCAGGGAGGATGGGATGCTCAGCCCTGCCAGCCTGTACTTATTAACAGTAGTGGCTTGTACCAGGAGCTGGAGTCAGATGGCAGCACTATGGAGGAGTATTCACAGGAGGACTGGGGAAACCACAGTCAGGATCTCCATGGCTACCCAACAGATCAGGAATTGGGTAAGAAAGCCGGCGTGTCTGCTACTCGTGTGTGTGTGTGTGTGTGTGTGTGTGTGTGTGTGTTTGTGTGTGTGTATACCTTTATATGTGCACCGGGACTGGTACAGTCTGTACTGGCAGCACAAGGCATGTAGCCTGTTTATCTGGGGCATTTTGGGCAGCCTTGATTTAGTCTTAAACTACCAGCTAGTGCTTGGTGTTGGTCGTTTGGTGATTTGGGTACCAGCCAACAGCCTAAATCTACAGGAGAATTCCCTATCCTGAGCTACCCAGGAAGCTGGGTGACAGAATGCTCTGTCGTTTGGAATATCCTGCACCTCTTCGTTCTGCCGTGCCTGCCATGAGTACTGGCTCCTGGCCCAGCTGCCATAGAGCAACCGTCTTTTTCCCTTTCCCGTTTGTGATTTGGGAATGGTTCCCTCCCAGACTTCGGTCTGAACAAAATAGGAAGGGAAGCCTCGATTTATCTCAAAAAGGGCTCATAGTTGAGCTTTATCAGCAGTCATGTTCCTTCACATTTCACAAAGGGTTCCAGCAACAGCTGGAATGATTTACCGCAGTCTTAACGTTCACAATTGAAACGAAGCTGAGCTTGTGTGGCCTAAGTAAGAGGGTATATGTTCATTGCTTTTTGTAGCAAATGCTCCAGTTTTGGTTTTCATGATGTGGAAGTCCTAATCACGATTCTGCTGCAGCCATTATAGCTTAATAGCGAGCTGTGTGATGAGTACTCACTCACACGTAAATGCCGTCACTCCCCAGTGAGAGAGGAGAGTGGGATTGGCTCTATCGCTGTACTTCTCCAGCTCAAGATAATTAACATTACTTGATCGTCATCCCTGGTGCTAATTCAAAAGAAACAGTATTCAACTAGTGTTTCTTATGAATGCTGGTTTTTTGTTTGTTTAATCTCAAATATTGGAAGAGAGAGGGAGACAAGAAAGAGGCTTATAACTGTAGGACTAGCACAATTTAAGAGAGAGACTTTAAGATTGGAAGAATAAGCCCTGGCTGGTGTGGCTCAGTTGAGCATTGACCCATGCACTATGAGGTTTTGGTTTGGATTGCCGGTCAGGGCACGTGCCCAGTATGGCCTCGATCCCTAATGGGGGGGGAGGGGGGGCGTGCAGGAGGCGGCCCATTGATGTGGTGCTCTCACATCAATGTTTCTCTCTTTCTCCCTCTTCCTTCCTCTCTCCCTAAAAATCAATCAGTTATTCTTTAAAAAGAAAGATCGGAAGAATAAACAGGGCAGATGCTAAGCGATTACTGTCTCTTCACTTCAAAACAGTAATGAGGTCTGAATTACTTTGGCATCCCATAACTCTGGTTTTGCCAGAGAGGTTTAAGCCACCCAAATCTTTGGGGGGAAAATAACATGCAGAATATGTAGATCCTGATATTGGGGAAGTAATTCTCTGTAAAACCTACATAGAAAATCCAAATCTCGCAGAATTATTTTCATTCTTGTTCCTTTAAAAATCATGTTTGCGGAGAAAGTAAGCTTTAAGCTCCCAGCTAGAAATCTACTGGTGACCTTGAAGAATTTTATACTTGTAGAGCTGGTTTCTGATCTTGCATATAAATGTATGCATCTCATTATAAAAGAGATACATATAAATCTGGCATTGGGCAGCTGTTCGAGACTAGAATCAAGTCATCAAATTGGGATAAATGGATGAACAGTAAACATATAGCTACTTATCTACATAAATGTATGCCACCGCTTAGGAGAATATAACTTGTTCCCATAACCTTGCCTTTCAGATGAAATACCTGTCACAAAGAGAACATTAAAAATAAAACAAGAGTCTTCTGATGAAGCACAGTAAGTAGACACTTTCCTTCTCTACAAAGTGTATTCATCTCGGTTTACTGGCAGGTGCTTCCTCCGCCATCTCACTGAGGAAGCGTGCTAGCCATTCTTCCTCACTCCCTTAACGTAAGCTTTCCGTGGTTAACCTAAAAATGGTGAGAGTGTTACATACAACAAGAAGAAATAAATCCGTTACATGAAAAGAAGCCTGTTTGTGCATTTGCCTGTGTGTGGATCTGGACACCTGGATGTTTTACTAAGATGGAAAGATGAGTCGTAGGACCCGAGTTTATCTGAAGTTAGGCAGAATGATAGGAGGGCTAGAGGACATGTAAATTTCTTAGGTTACATTTAGGGAATCAAGAAGCATGCTCTTGCCCGACTGGTATGGTTCAGTGGTTCAGTATCAACCCATGAATCAGAAGGTCATGGTTCTATTCCTGGGCAGGGCACATGCCTGGGTTGTAGATCTCGATCCCCAGTGTGGGTTGTGCAGAAGGCAGCCAATCATTGATTCTCTCTGATCATTGATGTTTCTGTCTCTCTCTTCCTCTCCCTTCCTCTCTGAAATCAATAAAGATATATTTTAAAGAATATTTCAAAAGAGGACAAGGAAGGATGGTGGCTCTGAAATAAGTTTTTGGGTGCGTGTTTTTTTTTTTTTTAAAGCATTGATCCATGGAGAAACATGGTCCTATATCTTAACCTCACAAGTAACACATCATACCTAATAAATGAGTAATATGCAAATCGACCATCACTCCAACACACAAGATGGCTGCCGTTATGTGGTCAAAAATCCTGCCCTCATGTGGACACAAGATGGCCAACAGGGGAGGGCAGTTGGGAGGGACCAGGCCTGCAAGGGAGAGCAGTTGAGGGCGATCAGTTCTGCAGGGGAGGGCAGTTAGGGGTGACCAGGCCCGCAGAGGAGGGAAGTTGGGGGCGACTTGGCCTGCAGGGAAGGGAAGTTGTGGGGGGGACCCAGGCCTGCAGGGGAGAGCAGTTGGGGTGGGGACCAGGCCTACAGGGGAGGGCAGTTTGGGGCAATCAGGCTAGCAGGAGGGCAGTTAGGCATCAATCAGGCTGGCAGGGGAATGGTTAGGGGCAATCAGGAAGGCAGGCAGGCAAGTGGTTGGGAGTCAGCAGTCCTGGATTGTGAGAGGGATGTCCAACTGCCCAATTAGGCCCAATCCTACTGGGGTCAGGTCTAAATGGGCAGTCGGACATCCCTCGAGTGGTTCCAGATTGGAGAGGGTGCAGGCTGGGATGAGGGATACACACCCCTGTGCATGAATTTCATGCACCGGGCCTCTAGTTATAAATATTAGAAAAGTGGCCAAGTGCCTTTGTGTCCTCTGAGAAGAGGGACAAGTTCGCAGGAACACAGTGATTTCATCTCGATGGCCACTCTGACACTTGAGAAGCTCTCAAGGCACGCTGGAGGGTGGAGGAAAATCCAGGGCAGTGTTTGGCCTCAAGAAGCAGCTGATAGCAAAATATGTCACATCTTTGTCATCTCGCAAAGAAAGTCAAGGAGAGTAAGAGGTCAGACTGAGAATGACTGCATGGGCGATCCCTCAGTGTTAACAAAAGCTTTTCCCCTGGAAGATTTGAGAATTTAATAGGAAGTTTCCAGGGTCTGTCTCCTCTCAAGAAGCTAATAAACTGGCATGTACACCCTCTTTCTTGTACACGCTTGATGGTACATGAGGGGTTAGTTGAGTATTTTTGTAGCTTAAGTCTATAATTGTTGTAGAGGGTAATAGTTGGTTGCTAAGTTAATATTTAATGAACTTCCATCTTCCAGTATCAAAGATTTACCATACCTGAGAAGCAAACTTGTAATTGCATATCCCCACATATATATGAATCATGGGATATCATTTATAGTTATATGAATTCTGCAGCATAAGCAGAAAGAATTCCCTGCCTTGTCTGTCATAACAGTTAATTATCCAAATCAAAATTTCTTTACTTTTTCCCCTTTATAAAATATTTTCTAGAACAGTCTCAATTCATTATCTTGAAATTTTTTAAAAATCCTCACTCAAGGACATGTTCTTTTATTGTTTTTAGAGAAGTGGGGCGGGGGGAGGGGGGGAGTGAGAGAGAGATGGGTTGCTTCCCATACATGCCCCAACTGGGGATTGAACTCATAACGTAGGTCTGTGCCCTAACTATGAACGGAACCCATCACTTTTTGGTGTACAGGACAGCACTATAACCAACTGAGCTACCCAACTAGCGCTTATTATCTTAAATTTTTATCTCTTAAAAGCTAAGTCTAATAGGGACCTTTTACATCTGCATTCCCTGATTTTTTTTTTTTTAACATATGTATTGATTTTTTACAGAGAGGAAGGGAAAGGGATAGAGAGTTAGAAACATCGATGAGAGAGAAACATTGATCAGCCACCTCCTGCACACCTCTTACAGGAAATGTGCCCGCAACCAAGGTCCATGCCCTTGACTGGAATCGAACCCGAGACCCTTCAGTCTGCAGGCCAACGCTCTATCCACTGAGCCAAAGCAGTCAGGGCTGAATTCCCAGATCTTGAATCTGTGTTGAACTAACAGTTCTTTTCAGTTTGGAAGAATAGAAGAAAATGTCCTTTTCTTTTAGAAAGCGTGTATCGGCCAAAATTATTGCACTTTCAGAGTTTTCAACTTTGAAGTCAAGATGTTCATTTTTTTAAATGACAGCGTATACCTTCCTCTTTGGCTGACTTACTGGAATGACACTGTTCAACATGAGCATATAGGTTTCAGGTGTGGGTTTTGTATACGTTACAAAATCTGTATATTGCACTGTGTGCCCTCCACCCAAAGCCAAATCTTCTCCTCTCACCTTATATTAGGAGTCCCACCCTCTTCCCTCTGGCAGCCAACACATGGCTGTTTGTGTTCACGAGTTTCGGTTTTATATCCCACACATGAGTGAAATGGAACGGTTCTTAGCTTTTTCTGACTGACTGACTTCACTTAGCATAATGTTCTCAAGGAGGATTCCCTTCTGCAGACAGCTTTCTTCACTTGCTCTCGGTTGGGTCTGCAGGCCATCATGCGCATCATAATAGCCACTTAAAACGGCTCATGATCCTTGGGCTCTGAAGTCCTAGGGTCTTCTTACATATCAATAGATGCTAAGGTTAATACAGCCAGCCTGTCTAAGTAATGGGAGGCAGCTTATCATTCATTCCCAGAAACTTCCTAGGGGAGAGTGTTCTCAGATTTTATACTATAGTTACCTCCACCTGCCCTGACCCGTAGAGAAGCTACTAATCACATGTGTTTATTGAGCCGTAACTTCAAATTATAATGGAAAGTGCCTCACACGGGCCGCTCTGAGTGCCGCTGCTAGCATGGCGGTGGCGCAGATAGGGAACAGGTCCGTCATTGCAGCAAGTGCTGCTGGACAGTGCTCGTCCAGACCCCTGAGGAATTTGCTTTTTTATTTCTCTTTCCAGGAAGAGAGACAACATGCAGAACATCGTCCAGATTTTGGAATCGGTGCAGTTGAAATGGGAACTGTTTCAGAGCTGGACGGACTTTTCAAGGCTTCATCTTTCTAACAAACTGGCCATCTTCGGCATCGGTTACAACACCCGCTGGAAAGAGGAGATCCGCTACCATCATGCCGAGATCAGCTCCCAGGTGCCCCTGGGCAAGCGCCTGCGGGAATACTTCAACTCCGAGAAGCCCGAGGGGCGGGTCATCATGACCCGCGTGCAGAAGATGAACTGGAAGAACGTTTACTACAAATTCCTAGAGATCACCATTAGCGAGGCCCGGTGCCTGGAGCTGCACATGGAAATTGACTGGATCCCCATCGCCCACTCCAAACCAACCGGTGGCAACGTCGTGCAGTATTTATTGCCGGGAGGCATTCCCAAGAGCCCGGGCCTGTACGCCATCGGCTATGAGGAATGTCTGAAGAGGCCCTCCCCCCCCCACGGGCAGCAGAGCTCCCTGGACCCGGGAAAGGAGGGCAGGGGTGACCTGGAAGCCCTTTCGGCGCCCGCCTCGTTACAGGCAGTGGTAGAACCCGCGCGGATCACCTACTGCTACCTCGGGATCGCCGAGGTCAGGACCCTGCAGCAGTGCTTGTTTTTACACTTCCAAGCCAACGCCAAGACCTTCAGCAAGGACTGGGTTGGCATCAATGGGTTTTTGTCTCAGAACTGCATTGTGGATCCCGGAGTCTCCCCCAAATCCATCTACATCAAGTTTGTGGAAGTAGAGAGGGATTTCCTCTCGGCGGGCTCTTTGGTCGAGTGCCTGGAAAAGGCCATCGGGTACCGCTTAAAATTCAACAACTGAGTGCCATCCTTCATAAGGGTCCGGGCTCTTACCTCCCTCTTCTCACTGCCTGTGACCCAGACTGTCCCCATGCGGATGCTGCCATCAGACTCTCCATGGAAACTCTCCACCACTGGGCCAGTACAACCCGCAAAGGATCACACGAGACTTTGCGCAAACAACACAGACCTCACCTCCAAATGCTCACTTTGAGCAAATGAGATTTACAGCGAACTTGCATGGTGGGTCGACTGTTTTTTTTTAAAAAAACAAACAAAACATTTTTAAATGGGTAGTAGAGCCCTAATATAAACAAACATAGGTACATTCCATATTGGACAAAACTTATACTTTGAGTTTCATATAAAATTGAAAAATTTTGTATTTTTTCCACGACGTTTCATTTTTACACATCTCTATGTCTCTATATAAGTATTATTTACAACCCTGAATAAATAAGCAATAGATAATGGCAAGTTAAATCTCAAGTCACAGTCAATAAGACTGTTTTTCAATATCACCTTTAGCTACGATTGTATATAGTTTCATTTTTTCACCAGCCAAGTGTTTTGCTATTCCCAATCAGTGTTGCCTGCAAAGACCTCTGTTTCTGTGATGTACCAACTTGACGGTTGTGTTGCCGTTTAAACTTTTTTTAAAAAAAAAAAAATTAAAATAATTCGTGGCCTCTTGGCGTAGTAGTTGAGCTTTCTGTAGCAGAGTGTGGCCACGCTGGCAGTGGGCACTGTGCTCTGGCTTCCTGCTGAGAACAAACCCAGCAAACAGCAGATCTTCACTTTCTTGCACTATCTGCACCCCACTGTCATTGTTTCTTGTCAGAGTGTACCCAAGGTCATTGGACATTGCATTTTGTATTTTTAAAAAACGACTAGGATATTCCTTCTGACCCTGAGTACATTAAAGTATAAGAGGCTTTCATTCCTCATCTTTCTACTCAGTAAACAGGGGCAGCTCTCCCAAGGAGTAAAGTGGAGAATTGGCATCATTATATTGCCTATTAAAAAAAAAAAAAAGAAGCCGAAATCGGTTTGGCTCAGTGGTAGAGCGTCGGTCTGCGGACTGAAAGGTCCCAGGTTCGATTCCGGTCAAGGGCATGTACCCGAGTTGCGGGCACATCCCCAGTAGGGGGTGTGCAAGAGGCAGCTGGTTGATGTTTCTCTCTCATCGACGTTTCTAGCTCTCTGTCTCTCTCCCTTCCTCTCTGTAAAAAAATCAATAAAATATATTAAAAAAAAAAAAAAAAAAAAGGAAGAAGAAGATCCCAGCTGGTGTGGTTCAGTGGTTGAGCTTCAGCCCATGAACCTGGTTCAATTCCTGATCAGGACACGCTGGGATTGCAGGCTAAATCCCCAGTGGGGGGGGGGGGGCACGCAGTAGGCAGCCCATCAGTGATTCTCATTATTGATGTTTTTATATCTCTCTCCCCCTTCCAGTCTCTATTTTTTTTAAAAAGAGAGAGAGAGAGAGAAGAGCCTACAAAAACATCCAGAAAAGTTTTTAAGTGATCCGTAGGATAGGAAATTGGGATATATCGGTCCATTAGAAAGATGACTAGCACATTTCGATCTTTCGGAGATTTCTGTGGGTCAACTAGCATTCCACTTAGAGGTCAAGACTCGTGACTAAGAGCCAGCTTACTAGAAGGATAGTCAAGAGGTCATTTTGGTGTCACGGTGGGGACTTGTTAGATTGGTTATCTGGAATGATTCTCTAACAGCTCTCAGGTGCTGTACTGGAAGTTGGGCTGCAAATCCAGGTAAGAGCTATAATTCTCCCTGTTTTTCTATACAATTGAAGATAAAAATTACATATTGATAAGAAATATTATTTCCCACACCAGTGATTTTCTCGTTCTGCCATCTCTTGGTTGGTTGGTACTTGTTTTTCTAGTGGCTAGAGAGCTTATAATCAATGTCATTTGGGTCTAGGTTTGTGGAGTCACTGTTTTCTGATGTGAGCTGCTAAAAACAGGTGCTAGTTCAGAGAGAGTATAAATATTATGGGCTGTTTGAGTGTAGCCCTTTCCCTGGGCACCGTCTGCAGGGTCAGGCCTTGGGAAGTTCTCACGCGTTTGCTCTTTTCTGCAACTTGAAGTTGTAGTCCACGCGTGTTAAACTCACTGTGGGCTTGTTGTAGTCCTACAGTCTATAGTCCTTCGTTGAGGTGGTTGAGGCCGACAGGGAGCCCAGGGGGCGGGGGCGGGGCAGTTAAATTGGCCAGAATAAAGTTCCATGGACCAACTTGTGGCAATAACCCTATAGTATTCATTGCTAAGAAAGAGCTGCAGGGTGGGGAAGCATTATTACCAGCACTACATCCCTAAAACTTTGCCGCTGATCCGCCCCAAAACTGGTGATGCTTCACTTTCCATCGCTGTACTTAGCTCCAGCGAAGCATTTTGCGAGCCTTGCTTGGGATGGTTCAGATCTACCTCACCTTACAGAGAATGGCGCTGCCAGACCCCTGTGAGCAGCGAGGGGAAGATGGCAAGACTGATCCAGCCCCTGGTTCCCCCATTGGGCTTGGGGTGGGTGAGGGATGGCGGCGAGAGGATGAAGCCGAGCATCGAGACATGGAGACCTGGGAAGAAATAGCTTGTTGATACTGAATTATCTAGTCTCTTTGGCCAGAACATTCTAGAAAAGAGGGCATCCGGGTGTCAGAAAATGACATGTGTGCTGCTAAAAACAAAAAGTGGACTATTTGGACCTTGATGAAGCTTTGTAACTGATTCGGGAGGGAGGTGGGATAGAGGCACTATATTCAAACCTAAGGAGCTGCATTAGAAAACACTTAAGAGATGTAGGCATGACTCATGACTGGGGAAACGCTAGTCCCCTGCAAGTGTCTCACATGGAACTGTGAACTTGGCCCCTGCACACAACATGGTTCCCAGGTCATCGGTGCCAGTGTTCTCATTTTGCACAAGAGAGCAATGTTCACCCTCAAAGGCATCCTGGCAAAAACTTAAAGTCATGGAGCTGCTGTGCTAACCTCTACCACTTTGACGGCCTCAGGCTCAGAAAAAGAAGGGATGGGACAGGAGGCGGTGGAAATTGGTTGATTGGGGCGAGGGCAGTGGACGAGTCCCGAAGGCCCCGTGCCGTGTCACATGGAAACAGCCGCTGCCCGCAGTCTTGGGCTGCAGCTTTACTTCCAACGTCGCCCCTTATTTGGGACCCGAATTACGGTACAAAGAGAAAAATGAGCTACAGGGAGAATGAGCGTTGGGACTTTACCTCGGACGCGCACAGCCTGTGTAACTGGATGCTTGGGTAACCCTGGGCTATCCAATCATAAGACTTTGTACTGCGTTTCTGAAGTTACTAATTTTGGGAGACAACCCTCATCTGGAAACAAAGGAGAGGTGTTTACAAGAAGGGTTTGCAATGTTAACGTCAAAAAAAATTTGAGCCGAAACCAGTTTGGCTCAATGGATAGAGCATCGGCCTGCAGACTGAAAGGTCCCGGGTTCAATTCTAGTCAAGGGCATGTACCTTGGTTGCAGGCACATCCCCAGTAAGTGGTGTGCAAGAGGCGGCTGATCGATGATTCTCTCTCATCGATGTTTCTAGTCCTCTCTCTGTTAAAAATCAATAAAATATATTTTTTAAAAAGAAAAGAAAAATTTGTGATAGAATAGAAAGAGCAAGCCAACATCCCCCCCCCACCACACACACACACACACACACACACACACACACTCTATGTGACAATTTCAAGTGTGTAGGTCGCTGCATAAGGGTATGAGATGGGCAATTACCCATTTCTGTTGCCTTGGCTGCCACTGAGTTGCCAAGTGTTGGGCTCCAGAGCTGACACCAGCCATGCGGTGTTTGCACAGGCATTTCTCGGAGCCACTGCCCCGCGGGTATGTAAAGAGCAGCCAGGCCAGTCGGCGCTGGGACGCAGCAGCCGGAGGGTCTGTGTGCAGCGCAGGCGCCGGGCACACAAAATAGGAGCAGAACTCTGACGTCCATGGAATCCAGGAGGCCCGGCGGCTCTCCTCTCCTGTCAACAGCCCCCAGCGCAGGCGGCACCGGGAGTTCGCGGTTTGCTTTGTGTCCTCGGGGCCTTTGCGCGGAGGTTGAGCTGTGCGGGATGTTGGAAGCATCTTCGTTCTGGATGTTGGGAAGGAGAAGCTGGAACAGGTGCGGGCGCTTCCTGGAGGGGCCGCGGCCGCCAGGGGGCGCCGGGGGAGGGGGAGGGGCGGATAAATTAAATTTGCAGGAAAGAGATTTAGTGTGTGTGTGGGGGGAGAAATAAAGCCACAAGGGCTCCGTGCGGCCTCCCCGCAGCCCCCTCCTCCCCAGGCAGCATGCGGTCCAGGGGAGGGATGTTTGCGAAGGTGAGTCTTCCGTTTCCCACGCTACTCCTACGTCCTCCCGCCAGTCTCTCCCCGCCCAGCTCGTGGGACCAGGCACTTGGCCCGATGACCTGCGAGAGGACAGGGTCCCCGCGTCCCCACGCAGGCGAGTGCCTTGCGGGCCTGATCTCCTGCCGAGCGGCCTCGGGCTTCTCGGCCCACTGACCCCGCTCCTCCTCGCGGCTCCGGCCCAGCACCCCCTGCCTCTCCGCCCTGGGAAAGCGGTCATCCCGGGTTCGGTGCCTTCCCTGCCGGCCCCCCACCCTGGGGAGCCCCAATGGTCCCTGGAAAACCGTTCCCCTCCTCCTCCTCCTCCTCCTCCTCCTCCAGGCAGGCCGCTCGGGTTAGGCTCCGAGCCAGTTAGTCCGGGACCAGTGCTCTGCGATTTACGGTGTGGGGGTGTGCGTGGTCCCTGGACACCGAGGGATCCCCAAACTTCCCTTCCTCCCATCCTTCTGCCCCCCCGCCCCGCGGAGAGATGGAGTCTCCCCCGCCCCAGGCCGCGGTGAGCGCCGGGCTTACCGCACCCGCCCCGCGCGGACCAGGTCAAAGCCACCGGGTCCCGGAGCAGCTCCCCCGGGAGGGTCACCCGGCGCCCCGCCCGCCCGGGAGGACAGCGGCCTCCCCGCCCCTCCAGCGCCCCGCCCCCTGTCCCCGCCGGTCCCCACCCGGCCACCGGCCTCGCCACACTCCGGCCGGCGCTGCCCTGGGTCCGCGTCCGGCTCCCGAGCCCGCTCCTCCGGCCGCCCGCCCCGCGGCCCCGCACCTGCCGGTCCCCGCGGCCGGCGGCCCGTGGCCTCGGCACCTGGCGGTCCCTGCGCCCCAGAGCCAGCAGCGCCCCTGTCCGTCGGGGCCAGGGAAGGCCATGGTGTCGCCGCCGCCCGGGCTCCCAGCGAGCAGCCTGCTGCAGGTTCTGCTCCTGGGGCTGAGCGCCTTGGGTAAGTTAAACCCCAGAACCAGGAGGGGGCTTGGGTGGGAGATGGGGGGGGCTGACTCCCTCTGACCCAGAGGGAGCTGGCTGGGGGGCCTGGTGAGGAGCCAGGTGGGACCAGACTCCCGCCTGGGACTCCTACCCTCTCCCCAGCCAGGGCGTCCGGCTGCTACTGGCCCCATCCCTGCGGGTTGGGTTGGGGACAGCTCCCGCTTCCCGCCCCCCAGGTGTGTGTGTGGTGGGGGAGAGAGAGGGCCAGGGCATCCCCAGGGGAGACCTCTGGGGTGAGTTAGCGGAACCATTCCTCACCCCCGCCCCCCCACAAGCAGAGCCGGATGAGCTGAGCTGCTAGATGAGATACTGGCTAAAGAGCTTAAGGACTTAACTCCAGCTCCGCTCCTGTCCCCTCCCCACACATCCCCCCCACACACACACAAACCCGGGGAAATTCCCTGGTACTGGGCTTGATACCCCACTTCACGTCACTCCCTCTGCCCCCTCCTCCCGCTTCCTGCCCTAGGAATCAAGGGAGGTGCCCCCGATGCACAACCGTGAGGTCATTTGGGATACAGGAAGTGGGGGAGGGAGGGGCCTGGGTGCCTAGAGGAGCCGAATGGTGACCCCTCACCCCCATCCCCACCCCCACCGTCCCCACCCCCAGAGGTCCACCACCGCCCTTGGTCCCCAGGGTCAAGGGGACATAGGAAAGGGAGAGGGGGCCTCAGAGAGTCAGAGAGGGAGGCCGCCTCCCCGGAGCAAGTGCTTTGAGGGGCGATAGAAGCTTCCAGGGTTGTCCAGGAGCTCAAGGTGGCCCAACTGGGGAGGGAAGGACGGGGAAGGAACTGAGCCCGGTCCACGCCACCTCCCAGACTTCCTTGCCATTCCTCCCCAGGGGGGTGAAGCGTGGGCTAGGCGAGGCCATCTTGAACTCATTTCTCTCTCCGGTGGCAAGTCCAGGGCAAGCGAGGCTAGGGAGGGTACAGAGCGAAATCCAGCGGTGATGGGGCCTGAGCCGGGCCCACCACACCCTCCCGTGTGTCCCCTTTCGCCTGGTCCGTGCCGCCCGCCCGGATGTTGGCGCAGGAAGGAGAGCCCCAGACTGAGTGGGGCTCAGGAGCAGCTCCCCAGCCACCAAATCTGGGCGGCTTCCTGCCCCTTGAGCTTGGTGGGCCTGGTCCAGGGGGCCTCCATGTCTCAGCCCCCGCCCCCCCACCTCCCATTTCAACCTCAGCACCTCTTTTCCTTCTGCACTCTGCCCCCCTATTTACCCTCGCCCCCACCCCCCCGTCCTCCTTCTTGCTGGGGGGTTTCCAAAGCAAAGGGGAAAAATACCAGTTTGGCTGCTGGGCATCTCCCCAGCTTTCCTGGTCGTGTGTGCGTGCGTGTGTGTGTGTGTGTGTGTGTGTGTGTGTGTGTGTGTGTGTGAACTCTGACCTCCAGTTTTCATAGTGACAGCCCAAACTCAAAGACCCTACCTGTTGGCGGAGTTCCCCGGCTCTGCAAGGGTTAAATGGTGCTGGGGACCCAGGCTTAGGGCCGGCACTCGGGCTCTCCCTTTCCCCAAGGTCCTCGCTGTCTGGGCTCCTCAGTGGCCCGGGCTGCTGCCCCTGGGGCGTGAGAAGCCCGAGGGGGGAGTTTCTCAGAGAAAGAGGGAGACTAAAAATAGTCGCCCTGGAGAGCAGGCCCATGCTCAGTCTTCCTCGGCTTTTGCTCTGGGGAGTGGGCCGGAGGGTCCCTTCCTTGGGCTGTTCGCGTCTCCTTTGCCCAAACCCAGCCACCCCCTTGTCTTTGGACGACACAGTGGACCCTGGAGTGAGAAGGGACCAAGAGTCGGGGACCCCTGCTCCAGCGGACACCCAGGGGGAAGGCAGAAGCCTCAGTTGGGCCTCTGCAGCGCCCAGTTTCAGATAAGAAAGGGCGCCTTTGCCCAGAAGTGTCTCCATGGCCATCATCGTCACCCCCTCCGCCTCTTGCAAAAGGAAATCCACTTGGGATCTGAGGGCGCAGCGTGCCGTTTGTAGGAACTGCCTGGCCTCTGGGGGCAGGCAGACGTGCCGGGAGAGGCCGCCACCCCAGGGGGGGGTGTCCCTGCAGAGGGGGGGGGGCCTCGGGCTCCTTGAGGCAGTGGTTGTTTCCAGCTGTAGAACCTCTGGCCTAGCTTCCCCCCCCCCTCCTGCTCCCCCTCCCCCCCCACCTCCCTCATTGTCTTCTAGCTTATCACCGGGCACAAGTTTCCTGCCCGGGCCTGCCGGGACCTCGCCAGGAAATGGGAAGGAGGCTACTGAGGAGGCTAAGGACTAGGTGTGGGGGCTCCTCAGGGCCCCGGCGGGAAGCGGTGGGGGTGGCGCGCATCCTGGCCGGGCATGCTCCTGGCTTGAGAGGAGGGCGGAGAGCCAGCCCCGCCAGCTGCGTGTGGCCTCTGTCCGTGCCTGGGCCGCCTGGTCACCCTGCAGAGGCCACGGTGGTGCAGCAGGCCTCCACCCGCCAGGATCCTCAGGCCTGCTGGATGGGATCCCCAGGGTGTTCCCCCCAATGGCTTAGGACTCTGCCCATCATCTCTCCGAAGGGCAGAAGGGGAGCGTTTCTAGGTGCAGCATCGATCCACCCGCTTAGTCCCCTCCCTGAAACCCACCCCGCAGTCCACCTCCTGGGCCCCCCACACCCGCAGCCACAACTTCGCACTGGATTGTTGGAGACCTTCATTCGTGCCCCCAGCTCTACCGACATGCCCTGTGGCCTCAGAGGTCCCGCCCTGATCGCCTGAACCCCAAAAGGGCCCCTGGGAGCCTTCTGGGTCCCAGCTCTCCTCTCTCCTGGGGAGCGCACCTGTCAGGACGAGGAGGGCGGGAGGGACAGGGGAGGAAGTGCAGTAGTCGACGGCCGGGCGGCTCCATCTCTGCCCGAGGCTGCTCACCCGGAGCCGGAGCCGGAGCCGTGGCTCCCAGTGGCCTCCCAGCCCCTCCACCCCTCGGGGCAGGAACACTCCGATCCGGACCTCCCTCCACACCCCCCCCCCCTCCCGCCTGGGAGGCTGCGGGAGCTACGCAGATTAGACATCAACACTATTAAACCCGCCCTTCCTCTTGGGCGTCTTCCCCTCCCCGTTGGAAACCGGCGCCTCTGGATACAAATTAATAGCCCATAATTGTGTCGTCCTCCTCCTCCTCCTCCTCCTCCTCCTCCATCTCCACGCCCAGAGGCTGAGGTTTCAGGGAATTGGCGCTGGGCAGGGGGGGTGGGGGGACGATGACGACGCTGATGATGCTGGAGGCAGGCCCTGGGTTCCCGCCTCCCGGTAGAGGGGGGTCCCCAAGCCCCTCCTGGGACAGACTCTTTTTTTTTTTTAATATATTTTATTGATTTTCTACAGAGAGGAAGGGAGAGGGATAGAGAGCCAGAAACATGAATGAGAGAGAATCATCGATCAGCTGTCTCTTGCACATCCCTCAATGGGGATGTGCCCACAACCAAGGTACCTGCCCCTTGACCGGAATCGAACCTGGGACCCTTAAGTCCGCAGGCCAACGCTCCATCCACTGAGCCAAACCGGTTTTGGCCTGGGACAGGACTCTTGTGGTCCTTCCTAGTGGCGGGGTTTCCTGCACATACACACACGCGCACACACACACACACACACACACGCACGCACGCACGCACACACATACACACACACACACACGCACAAGCACACACATACACACACAAGCACACCGCCCCGGGATGGGCAGGTCGGAGCTCACTCCCTCGCTCTCCTCCCCAGCGCCCGCCTCCGGAGCCCAGTTCCAGCTGCACGTGCCCTCGGGGCTAGACCAGGTGCTCGCCGTGGAGGGCGAGGAGGTGGTGCTGCCCGCCTGGTACACCTTCCAGGGCGAGGCGGCCACGGCCCGGCCCTGGGAGACCCTCACCCTGATGTGGTTCCTGGAGCAGGAAGGGGAGGACCTGAAGCAGGTGAGGCTGGAGGCCCTCTGCCTTGCCCAGTGGGGGCGGAGGGCACTGAAGGGGGGGAGGGAGGAGCGGAGCCAGGGAAAGGGGGACGGAAAAAGTTTGCGGAGAGGAGGGGGAAGCAAGGTCTTCCTCACCGGTTTAATTTTGTTCCGATCTTGGAGGCGTCCCAAAAGGATTCTCTTTCCCCCAACTTTCCCCAGAAATCTGGCCCCAAACCCTGCAAGGTGAAGAGGCATCTTACTTTGGGGCTGGGGATTGGGGGTGGAGGTTAGGGAAGAGTTAGGGCGAGGATCACACAACTTATTTTTTATTTTAATTTTAATGTTTGAATATAGTTCTGTTGGTTTCAAAGAGAAAGGGAGAGGGAGGGAGAGATAGAAACATCCGTGATGAGAGAGAATCACTGACGGGCTGCCTCCTGCACGCCCCTACTGGGGACGGGCCTGCAACCTGGGCATGTGCCCTGACCCAGGAACCGAACCGGTGACTTGTTGGGTTCCTGGGTTGACGCTCAACTGCTGAGCCACACCCGGCTGGGCACACAGCTTATTTTTTAAATATAAATTTTTATTGATTTTAGAGAAGATGGGAGAGGAGAGATAGGAACACCCATGAAGAATTAGAATCACTGATGGGCTGCCGTCTGCACACTCCACTCTGGGGATCGAGCCCACAGCTTGGGCACGTGCCCTGACCAGAATCCAACCGTGACCTGCCGGCTTATAGGTCAATGACCAACCACTGAGCCACGCCTGCCGGGCCTCACACAACTTTTTAAAAGTTGCCTACCAGCCTGTTTTCACAGTCACAGGCTGCTGCCTCTTCTGCCCACCCTGAGTGGCAAGGGCCAGTCTCCCCCCACCGCCCTCCTGGCCTCCCCTGGCCTCACAGGATGAGCAGAGGCAGACTCGCCCAGCGCCCAGGACACCTCCCTGGCAGAGCCCCTCCCTGGCATGGCTCCTTCGGAAGCCCTAGGAGTGTCTTCCAGAGGCCGTTTTGTAAACAGGGGCGTGCGTGAACGACACTGAGGCTGCAGGGCTCCGTCCTGGATTCACGGGGCCTGGACGTGTGCATTTGCTTCCTTTCAGACATCACCCCTGTGTACATGATCTCTCACCCATTCTTTTAAAAATATATTTTATTGATTTTTTTTTTTTTTTTTTTTTTTTTTTTTTACAGAGAGGAAGAGAGAGGGACAGAGAGCTAGAACCATCAATGAGAGAGAAACATCAACCAGCTGCCCCCTGCACACCCCCCACCGGGGATGTGCCCGCAACCAATGCACATGCCCTTGACTGGAATCGAACCTAGGACAATCCACCCCCCCCCCCCCCCCCCCCAGTCCTCAGGCCTAACCGGTTTCGGCTCTCTCACCCATTTCACCCCTTTCCAAACACCCCAAGTGGGAGACGGAGACCATAGACAGGGCATCAAGAGCCGTCCTGGTGCCGAGGACCTGGGTGGGTGGTGAGAGGGTGGCCGGGGAGAAGGGGAGAAGGGGGAGCTGGCCCAGGTGAGAGGGGACCGTGCAGGGGAGGAGCGTCTGAGGTTTGACGGGTTGGGGGAGGGAGACTGGCGGAGCCTGAGGGCATGGTGCGGGCATGCGCTAACGGGCAGGGTCATGCCCACACCAGGTGCTGGCGCACATCAATGGGGCCACCAGCAGCCAGGATGGAGCGTCCCTGGTGTACCCCATGCCCTCCCGGAACGTGTCCCTGCGGCTGCAGCGCCTCCGGGAGAAAGACTCCGGGTCCTACCGCTGCTCTGTGAACGTGCAGGACAAGCAAGGCACCAGCAGGGGCCACAGCAGCAAAACGTTAAAGCTGGACGTGTGGGGTGAGTGCGAAGCACAGGCTCTGCAGGACCTCCCCGCCCCCACGGGAGGGCAGGCAGGTCTCCCTCCCTCCCACACGCTGAGTGCGCAGGTTGGAGGAGGGTTAGGTGGGGTGACCACAGGGTCTGTGTGTAGAAGTTGGTGTGTGTGTGTGTGTGTGTGTGTGTGTGTGTAGATGAGTGTCCGTCGGTCTCTTGGGTGTGAGTTTTAACTTGTCCCTCCTCCCCCAGTTCCTCCAGCTCCTCCATCCTGCCATCTCCTGGGCACGCCCCGTGTGGGGACCAACGTGACCTTGAGCTGCAAGTCCCCTAGGAGTAAGCCTGCTGCCCTGTACCAGTGGGAGCGGTCACACCCGTCTGTTGAGGTTTTCTTTGCACCAGTTTTAGGTGAGAGATTCTGGAGACAACAGGGGCTGGGGCTGGGGAAAGATGAGGTGCCAGAGGGACTGGGGTGAAGAGGGAAGGCAGAGCTGCAGTATTGGGGAGGAGGGGGGCATGGGCAGTGGTGGAGACAGAGGGCTACCAGGTGCAGCTTGTGTTGGGTGCTTTCATGTATAACTAAGCTACTAAGGAAGCTCTAGAGCTCTGCTGCTCAGTAGCATTTTAAAAAATATATATTTTATTGATTTTTTACAGAGAGAGGGATAGAGAGCTAGAAACATCGATGAGAGAGAAACATCGATCAGCCTACTCTTGCACACCCCCTACTGGGGATGTGTCTGCAACCAAGGTACATGCCCTTGACCGGAATCGAACCCGGGACCTTTCAGTCCACAGGCCGATGCTCTATCCACTGAGACAAACCAGTTTTGACTCCTCATTTTTTTAAAAATATATATATATATTTTATTGATTTCAGGGTGGAAGGGAGAAAGAGAGAGATAAACATCAATGATGAGAGAGAATCATTGACCGGCTGCCTCCTGCACCCTCCCTGCTGGGGATTGAGCCTGGCATATGCCCTGACTCCGGAAATCCATCCCGGGCCCCTTGGTTTCTATGTTGATGTTCAACCATTGAAGCACACCAGCCAGGCCATTTCCCCATTTTTTAAATGGGACAGCAGCTCTAAAAGTCATTTTGGGGGAATTGGAACTTTAAAACAATTTTTATGAGATACAATTGATGGAACATTTTTTTAGTATGGGGTATTAGATGCTTTTAGAGAATTATTAATGATCAGGTATGGCAATGGCATTGTGGTTTTGTAGGGCAGTATCCTTAATTTTTGGAGATTTATGTTGAAGTCATTATTTTAAAATAAATGACTTGGAAAAAAGGAGAAAGGGAATTAAATAAGTATAGCAAAATGTTGGCAACTGTTGAATCTAAGTGGTAGGATTTTCATTTGCCCCTCTTTCTACTTTTCATTTGACCATTTTATTATATATATATATATATATATATATATGTATATATGTGTATATATATATATATATATATATATATTTATTTTTTTTTTTTTTTACACAGCCCTTACCTCATAGGTTTGTTTTGAAACTTTTGTAAATTAGTGGATGTAAAAAATTCAGTTTTTGGTGTACATTAGCATTCAATAAACTATAACTTTATAATTATTATTTCATATAATTTTTCAACACTATTCAGAAAGTTATGTTATCCCATTTTAGAGATGAAGGAATTGGGACCCAGGAATAGCAAGTAATTTGCTTAAAGTCACAGGGCCTATTCTGGAACCCAGGTTTTCTCATTTCTAGCCAATGCTTTTTCCCTCACCCCCTCTGCCAGTTAGAAATTAAAATCCTGTTTTGGTTTTTCTAGGTATCGTTTCTTTATTATTATTATTTTAAATATATTTTTGTTGATTTCAGAGAGGAAAGGGGAGGGAGAAAGAGAGACAGAAACATCAGTGATGAGAGAGAATCATTAATCGGCTGCCTCCTGCATGCCCCACGCTGGGGATCAAGCCCACAACTCAGGCACGTGCTCTGACCTCCCGGTTCATAGCTCCACACTCAGCCACTGAGCACACATTGGGCTGGGCTGGTAGCATTTATTTCTTTAAAAAAAAAAAAAAAAAAAAAAAGATGAAGGAGCTTGAGTTTTATTATTTTTTAAATATTTTTTATTGATTTTACAGAAAGGGAGAGAGTTAGAAACATCGATCAGCTGCCTCCTGCACACTCCCCATTGGGGATGTGCCCGAAATCAAGGTACATGCCCTTGACTGGAATTGAACCTGGGACCTTTCAGTCCCAGGCTGTCGCTCTGTCCACTGAGCCAAACCAGCTAAAGCTGGTTATCATTCCTTTAGCCTCCTTTCAGAATCAGTTGAGGACACTGAGCCTTGGGAATGGAGAGGAATATTGAGGGAGCAGAATCCAGTGTGCTTACTGTCTCACCTCACCCCCTTCCCCCTTCCCCCCACCCTCCAAACGCCAAAAAGGACATTCCAAAGGAGGGGTAGGGTTCTTCTTCTTCTTCTTCTTCTTCTTCTTCTTCTTCTTCTTCTTCTTCTTCTTCTTCTTCTTCTTCTTCCTCCTCCTCCTCCTCCTCCTCCTCCTCCTCCTCCTCCTCCTCCTCCTCCTCCTCCTCCTCCTCCTCCTCCTCCTCCTCCTCCTCTTCTTCTTCTTCTTCTTCTTCTTCTTCTTCTTCTTCTTCTTCTTCTTCTTCTTCTTCTTCTTCTTTTAATGGGAAATAGGGTCTCTGCCTGATGGCTCCCTTGTGCCCACAGATGCCATATCTGGCTTCCTCAGCCTCCGAAACCTTTCCAGCTCTATGTCCGGAGTCTACGTCTGCAAGGCCACCAACAAGGTGGGCAGTGCCAGCTGCAACGTGACCCTGGAAGTGAGCTCAGGTCAGTGAGGGGTAAGTGGGGTCACGGAGAAGACTGCTCAGTGGTCGGATGGGGTTGCAGTAGAGGGGGGATGGGGAGACTTGCCTACCGAGGCCTCTCCTTGTAACAGGGCAACGCATTTGTTCTGATCAAACGCTTGTCCAAATATTTGGCCAGAGACCATTTTCCGCTTGGCAGCCACCTCTTCTTAACAGAGACGAAGGCCAGTGTGGATGGTGGCCGTGGGGTAGCTGCCTTGCAGAGGGCTGGGGGACAGCTGGATGTCGCCCTCTGACACCCCGGTTTTTCCAGGGCCTGGGGCTGCCGTGGTCGCTGGAGCTGTCGTGGGCACCCTGGTTGGCTTGGGGCTGCTAGTGGGACTGGTCCTCTTGTACCAACGCCAGGGCAAGGCCCCAGAGGAGGTGGCCAATGACATCAAGTAAGTGCCCAGACGGGGCTCTCCTAGCTCCCTGATTGGCAGTATCCACCAGGGAGGCTGGGAATTCAGACAGCTCGCTTCTCATGGAAGCCTTGGCCATGGCTGAAGCTTTACTCCTATGGGTAAGGTGACCAGATGTCCCGCTTTTGAACAATTTGTCCCGCAGTGTTTTAAAAAAGTCCCGATTCTCGCCGAAACCGGTTTGGCTCAGTGGATAGAGTGTCGGCCTGTGGAATGAAAGGTCCCAGGTTTGATTCCGGTCAAGGGCATGTGCCTTGGTTGTGGGGAAAAATCCCCAGTAGGGGGTGTGCAGGAGGCAGCTGATCGATGTCTCTCTCTCTCTCTCTCTCTCTCTCTCTCTCTCTCTCTCTCTCTCTCTCTCATCGATGTTTCTAACTCTCTATCCCTCTCCCTTCCTCTCTGTAAAAAAACCAATAAGATATATATATATATATATATATATTTTTAAAAAGTCCCGATTCTTTCCAAAAATCGGGACTTTTTTAAAACGCCATGGGACTGGGGACAAATCGTTAAAAATGGGGACATCTGGTCGCCTTACCTGTGGGTAGATTTTAAGGGCAAGGAGAGTTGACGTGGGGGAGGGGGAGCATGAGACAAGGCGTGGAGACACCCCCTCGCTTCCCGTTTCTGACCTCATTGCTTCTCTGGTGACCAGGGAGGATGCTGCTGCGCCTCGGACCCTGCCCTGGCCCAAGGGCTCAGACACCATCTCCAAGAACGGGACCCTGTCCTCCGTCACCTCGTCACCAGCCCTCAGACCGCCCCACCGCCCTTCCCGGCTCGGTGCCCCCACCGCCTCGACCCCCACGACCCCCACGCGCAGCCACGGCTGGGTCTCGCCCTCTGCCCTGAGTCGCAAGGGCGCTGTCCCCGTGATGGTGCCCGCCCAGAACCAGGCTGGGTCTCTGGTGTGACGGCCCCGTCATGTGTGGGCAGAGCCATCTGGATTCTCTCCTTCCTGTAGCCATTACTATGGGGGTTCCCCCAGCATAAAGGCCTGAGTCTAGGGGTTGGGGGGGGGATGGCCCCCTTCTAGATCTCCAGTCCTCTGCACCCACCTTTCCTGACTATGGGGAAACGGGGTCTTCGTTAAGACTCGAACTTCCAGGAGGTAGAAGAAGAAGAGGAAGTGGACTTGGGGTTGGGAAGAGCCTAAACCCTCTCCTGGGGCCCCCCTAATATAGCAGAGGGATGCTGCTGAGACTGGTTAACCCCAGCCCTGGTGGAGGCTGCCCATCAATGAGTCCTCCTGGCCGCCCCCTTGACCTCTATCCCACCCCCCACCCCCGTCTAACACCACCCTCCACCCCCGCTCCAGCTCCCTGCATTCGTATCCCCTGTCCTGCTGGCCTGGTTGGGTTTTGCTGGAACTGGGGACAGGGCAGATATTTGTTAAACTAACTTGAAATGTGTGTTTTAAGATGTGTTTTGTTTTTTTTTTATTTTTATTTTACCAACCTCAATAAAGACATTTTGTGTTTGTATGGAAAGCGAGAGTCGAATCCCCTCTTCCAATTTGGGATTCCCGGGACAAGTTGGGGGCGGTGCCAAGAGGACCCCTTACCCAGGCCGTGCACGTAGGCCGGCTTCTCCCCACAGCCTCCGCCGTCTGGCTGGGGAAAGCTCGTCGAAAGCCTTTATTTTTTGTTAGTCCTCACCTGAGGATATGTTTCCATTTATTTATTATTTTTTTTAGGGAGTGGAAAGGAGGGGAACGAGAGCGAAACATCGATGTGAGTGAGAGAGGCATCAATGAATTGGTTGCCTCCTGCGCACCAGCCCAGACCAGGGATCTAGTCACCAAAGTACCACGCCCTAGTCTGGAATCTAACCCGGGGCCTTTTGGTCCCCAGGCCAACGCTCTATCCACTCAGCCAAACCGGCTAGGTCCCTTCCAGGTCAGTTACAGGTCATTTGCTGCTGGGTGCCATGGGAGAGGCACAAAGAGCTGGAGGCTGTGAGTTGCAAGAGAATGAAAAGGGTGCACTTTCTGCAGGGGCCTGGGTGCCGAGTTTTTTTGGGGGGTGCATTTAACCTCTTGCTTCCTCTTCAAGGGTAGAGAAGGGGCTCCCTGATGCCAGACCACCAAACCCTTAACGCACACACACTCCTCCAAGTCTCAGCCTCCCTGCCCATAAAAAGGAGTGGCTATGGCCCTGGCCAGCTTGGCTCAGTGGATAGAGCATCGGCCTGTGGACTGAAAGGTCCCAGGTTCTATTCCGGTCGAGGGCATGTACCTTGGTTGCCCGCACATGCCCGGTGGGGAGTGTGCAGGAGGTAGCTGATCCGTGTTTTCTAACTCTCTATCCCTCTCCCTTCCTCTCTGTAAAAAATCAATAAAATATATATATATATTTTTTTAAAAAAAGTGACTATGGAGGTGGGAGGCAGCTGTTGTTTCCATGGAGACTCCGATCCGCCAGTGATAAAAGTGCCCCAGAAGGGATCTCGCAGAAGAGGAGGGGCTTGGCCGAAACCGGTTTGGCTTAATGGATAGAGCATCTGCCTGCAACCTGAAGGGTCCCCGGTTCGATTCCGGTCAAGGGCATGTACCTTGGTTGCGGGCACATCCCCAGTAGGGGGTGTGCAAGAGGCAGCTGATCATGTTTCTCTCTCATTGATGTTTCTAACTATCCCTCTCTTCTCTGTAAAAAATTCAGTAGTATATATATATATATATTTTTTAATTTTTTTTTTTAAGAGGAGGGGCTTGGAAGGAACTGGAATCTCTCAGGGCATCGGAAGGGGTCTCTGGGGTGAAGCCCCAACGCGGTGCTGCCTGCAGCCTGCTTCCAAGCCGTCAGACCACCTACCACCTACCTCTGTCTGCGGGGCAGCGTGTCCCTGCAGAGCAGCAGTGCCAACCCCTACCCTTCAGACGGCCACCCCACTCCCCTGTCCCGTCTGTTCCCCGGGCCCCCCAGCTTCAGACATTGGGGGGAGGAGGACAGAAGGAGGACAGAACTGGAGAAGGGCGAGGCGTTCCCTCCGCGAGAGCGCCGGCCGCGCCCCTTGTTTGCTCTGCGATAGCCAGTCCCGGCCCGACTGGCACGCAGGTTGCCCCGCGGGCACCGCCTTCCCTCCTGCACCGGGGGCACTGGACCCAGGACGACGGCAGGCAGGACTCGCCATGGCCCTGCTCCCGGGGCCCCTGCTGTGCAGGGCGCTGCTGGGCTGGGTCTGCCTGGCGGGTGAGCAGGAGCCGCGCGGGGGGCGCGGGGCCGGGGAGGGGCGTCCGGGGCCGGGGGTGGGGGTTAGGGGGGCAGGATTGGGGCGCTCCAGGCGGCCAGCGAGCCGGGCCTCCCCGGGAGGGAAGGGAGGGCTGAGCCACGGGGCAGAACCATTGTTTTCCTCTCCCGGGACAAACACACCCTCCTACCTGGCCAGGCTGGTCCTTTTACCCACAAAACGCAGCCACCGCGACGTGCGCTCCTCCCTCCGAAACTTTGGGTTTCGAGAAGGGAAAGGTAGGGGGGGGGGGCCTAGCCTCCTAGTGAAAGACCCACGGGTGGGCCGAGCTCCAGACCCTCCTCCCTCACCCCCGAGATTGGGAGTCCGGCCCCCCGACCCCTCCCCAGAGGCCTCCGGCTGCCGTCTGAGCGCCCCCCTGTGCGCCCCCAGCCCCTGGGCGCGCGGTGGAGGTGCGGGTGCCCGCGGAGCCCCTGAGCGCCCCGATGGGCAGGACGGCCGAGCTGACCTGCATCTACAGCACGTCCGTGACCGACAGCTTCGCCCTGGAGTGGAGCTTCGTGCAGCCCGGGAAGCCCCTCTCTGCGTCCATGCCCGTGAGCTGGGGGTGTGGGTGAGGGAGGCAGGACCTGGGAGCCCACCCAGGCTGAGGGCAGGGAGGGGGCGTGGATGAGAAAGGTCAGTGTGCTTGGGTGACAAAAGCAGTGGGCTCTCCCTAGATTAAGGTGACCAGATCGTCCAGGTGTTGGCGGGACAGTCCTGATTTCTAACAATTTTTCCCCACGTCCCGCGTCCCGTGGCGTTTTAAAACAGTCCCGATTTTTGGAAAGATTGGAAACATTGGAAAGATTCTTTCCAAAAATTGGGACTTTTTTTTTTTTTAACGCCACGGGACACGGGAAACATTGTTAGAAATCAGGACTGTCCTGCCAACACCTGGACAATCTGGTCACCTTACCCTAGATCTTCGGAGGATAGCAATCTGGGTACCCGCAGGTCCCATGCACAGCTTCTGTAGCCATCCGCCTATCCCCTCCCCCAGCGCCCTACGCCAGGGGTCGGCAACCTGCAGCTCGCGAACCACAGGCAGCTCTTTGGCCCCTTGAGTTTTTAGCAAAGGCCAGCTTAGGAGAACCCTAAATTAAGTTCATAGCAATGTACCTACCTATATAGTTTAAGCTAAAAAAAAAAAAAAAATGTGGCCCTCCAAAGAAATGTCCATCGTTGTCCTGTTGATATTGGGCTCTGTGGGCTAATGAGTTTGCCGACCACTGCCCTATGCAATCCCCTGCGTCCATCCGTGCAGGCCCAGCTGCCGTTAATATACACTAGTGAGGGACGCTCAGCTGTTGTGACTGAAAGCAGGATAAAATGCTGCCCTTTCCACGAATATGTGTATTGTGGAGAGCCATCCTTAGTTGGAAGCAACGAATATAGTCCATTTCCCACTTGGGAAGGGCTGGTCTTTGGGGAGATAGACCTTCCTGGTTCCGGCTACGATGTCAGCTTTCCTGCCTGTGGGGAGGGAAGGGCCCTGGGAGAAGGAACCGCAGAGTGGATGCCTCTGCTTCTCCCCAGATCCTGTACTTCACCGGCGGGCAGCTGTACCCCACCGGCTCTAAGGCGAAGCGGGCCAGCCTGCTTCAGAACCCGCCCACGGGGGGCGTGGCCACCCTGAAACTGGCCGACGTCCACCCCTCAGACACCGGGACCTACCTCTGCCAAGTCAACAACCCACCTGATTTCTACACCAACGGCCTGGGGCTGGTCAACCTCACGGTGCTGGGTAAGGCAGGCTGGGACCCACACCCCCTGAAAGGCGAATGCGGGCCCTGATGGACCCCCCCATATCCTGATTTCCAGCCCAAGCACACGCTGCACTGGGGACCCTGGGGGGGGGAGGAGTGGGGAGAAAGTCCTCCTCCTCCAGCCAGTCCAGCTCCTGCCCCACCCTGCACAGCGTGATCCTCCTCCCTCAGGCCCTAGTAACAAAGGTCCCGCATACACGGTTTGAGTCATGCCCCCAACCCGCTCCATCTTTCGGGAACCTCCCATGTGTACCTCAGATTCTGTCCCTCCCCAGGGCAGTGGCAGAGGTGGGGAGGAGGGTGACCCTTAAAGGAACCAGGGCCTCTACCCACTAAGCACCAATTTTGTGTTCGGAGCTTCCATCTCGCCCCAGAGTGGAGCAAACAGGAGAGTCTACTAAAGGCGCTGGGGATGTGTAGATGGAAAAGAGACTCCTTGGGACAGCGGTTCTCAACCTGTGGGTCTCAACCCCTTTCACAGGGGCCGCCTAAGACCCTTGGAAAACACGGACATTTACCGTACGACTCATTAACACTAGCAACATCACAGTGATGAAGTAGCAGCGAAAATAACTTTATGGCCAAAACCCGTTTGGCTCAGTGGATAGAGCGTCGGCCTGTGGACTGAAGGGTCCCGGGTTCGATTCCGGTTGGGGGCATGTGCATTGGTTGTGGACACGTCCCCCAGTGGGGAGTGTGCGGGGGGGGGGGGGGGGGGGCGCGGCTGGTCCATGTTTCTCTCTCATCGATGTTTCTAGCTCTCTATCCCTCTCCCTTCTTCTCTGTAAAAAAAAAAAATAATAATAAAAGTATATTTTAAAAATAAAATAAAAACAAAAAAATAAAAAATAGTTTTATGGTTGGGGGTCACCACAGCATGAGAAACTGTATTAAAGGGCCCAGAGGGCAGGAATTGGACCAGTGGGGAGATATTCACTTAGATTTGGGCGCAACACGAAGATTTTTCTAGCAAGCAGAATTTCCAGTAACATAAGTCCTATCCTGGGGGCGCAGACACAGGACCCTGTCTGCCAGATTTCCACACCAAAAGTGGACACTGGTAGGAGTATTGAATGAGGAAACCCAGCATTTATTGAGGGGGCGTCGGAAGACCACTGAGGTTTTTTTTCTCTGTGACCTTTGCAGTGCCCCCCAGCGACCCCCGGTGCAGCCAGACTGGTGACACGTCTGTGGGGGGCTCTGCTGCCCTGAGCTGCAGTTCCTCCGAAGGATTGCCCAGGCCCGTGTACAACTGGGTCCGCCTTGGATCTCTTCCCACGCCTCCTCCTGGCAGCATGGTGCAAGGTAAGGGCCCGGGCGTCCAGGAAGTGGGCACTCAGGACCTGGGCAAACCTGGTCTCTGAACCCCACACACCCAGAGCACCAGCTCCAGGCCTGTGTGTGTGAGACAAACGCTCTATCTTCTCTCTGCATCTTTCTCGGTTCCCGTCTAGGTCCCTCCTGCCTGTCTCCCTGCACTGTCTGCGTCTGCGCGATCCTGGAAGCATTTCTTGAGCCCCATAGACTCCTGATATGGGAGAGCGCGGAAGGCATGGGGCATTCTGTGATTCCCACTTGTCTGTGTGGGAGCGGTTTCTTGGAGATTTTCTTCAGGGTCATGAGTCACTGCCAAACTTCCCAGAAGGGAAACGGAGGCAGAGTCGCATGGGCTGTCTTGATCACGTAGCTGGTTTCTCTGGAGAACCAGGCAACTGGCTCAGAGCCTTGGCTTCCTGGCTGCCGGTGCCCTCTCTCTTCTCAGCCCCAGCCCACTCTCTCTCAAGCCAGAGGGCCCAGGTCACCTCCTGGTGTGTGTGCTCTGCCTTCTGAAGGAAGGTTAGCTCTAGCTGGTTTGGCTCAATGGATAGGGCATCGGCCTTGTGGACTGAAAGGTCCTGGGTTTGATTCTGGTTGAGGGCACATGCCTGGGTTGCAGGCTCAATCCCCAGTAGGGGGCGTGCAGGAGGCCGCCAATCAACGATGCTCTCTCATCATTGATGTTCCTAGCTCTCTCTCCCTCTCCCTTCCTCTCTGAAATCAATAAAATATATGTGTATATATATATATTTTTAAAAAGTGGGAAAGGTAAGCAGCTTAGAAAACCACTTAGAGCCACCTCAGAGGTTACAGTTTCTAGCGATGAAGTTTTTCCCCCTCTGCAACCAGGAACCTGACATCAGCCAGTGAGCACCCACCCCGATTCCATTGCCAGTTTCTGAGCCCTTCATGCAGGCACCCCCTGCCCCCTGCCCCCCCCCCCCAGAAGGCAGCTGTGTAGGGTGGAAAATGTGCAGAAGCTGCAGTGGCTTTGGCATTTATTCGTTAGGAAGGGACTAATAACCCGAGGCTAGTCCCTTCCTGACAGGATGACATGAAAAATGCTTTCGTCACAGAGGGCGCTCCCCGGGAGCCCAGTGATGGAACACTTGCTTCCTCTTTGCTCTCCAGATGAGGTGTCGGGCCAGCTCGTGCTCACCAACCTCTCCCGGGCCTCCTCGGGCACCTACCGCTGTGTGGCCTCCAACCAGATGGGCAGTGCCTCCTGCGAACTGACCTTGTCTGTGACCGGTAGGGATGCTGGGCAGAGGCCAGGCGGGCAGGCCCGGGCTGCAGGGAGAGGGTCTGAGGGTCCCGTGTGTGTGTGTGTGTCCGCAGACCCTTCCAAAGGCCGCATGGCCGGGGCGGTGATCGGAGTGCTCCTGGCCGTGCTGGTCCTGTCGGTCTCCGTATTCTGCTTCATGAGGTTCCAGAAGGAGAGGAGGAAGAGGCCTAAGGAGACGTACGGGGGCAGTGACCTTCGGTGAGAGGAAGGGCGGGTAGTGCAGTGGGCGGACAGGGCTTGGATTAAGGGTCGACGATGCCAGCCCTGAAACAGTGACATCTTGAGAGGGGTATGGAGTGCCGCTCAGCCCCGGGATTTGGCATGTATAGGGGTGTAGTTGTGTGCGAACAAGTGTGCAAGCTGCCCTTTCCCTCCTCATAATTTCAGTTTTCAAGGCCTTTCGTAAATATCAACAGGACAGGGATTCCAGGAGTTAGATTTGCCCTGAGCATCCTGCTGAGGGTTAATTCTGTGTATGTTGTGGGGGGGGGGGGAGTGGGGTAAGAGCTGCCTCTGTCATCCACTGTCAATTGAAGGGTCCAAACTCCAGGCCAGAGCAGTAGTCCTCCAAGTGAGGTCCTCCCGTTGGCCTATGAACCAGGAGGCCAGGGTTCGATTCCCGCCAGGGGCACATGCCTGGGTTGTGGGCTCCGTCTATCTTTGGACAGAAATGACCATGAGCTTGTTCACATTCAGAGTCAGGATACTTCCTAACCCCTTCCTGGAAGCAGCGTGTGTGTGTGTGTGTGTGTGTGTGTGTGTGTGTTGCAGGTGATGGGGACGGGAATCATTTCAACCCAAGTCCCCGCCGATGATTCATTCCCAGGTCCCTGGGTGCAGGGAGGAGTGTCCTCGGAGGGAGGGATGCCTCCGACCTCCACTAAGAATGTGTTTACCACCCCCAGAGAGGACGCCACCGCTCCCGGGATTTCTGAGCAAACCTCTGGGATGGCCGACCCTAGCGATGGGCTCCTGGAGAAAGCCCCCTCCTCCATCTCTGCGAAGACCAACAAGTCCAAGCTCCCTGTGGTTGTCTGAGGTCCCTGCCCATCAACGGGGGGAATACCCACAATTAAAGCCTCCGGCTACCATCTTGTCTCCCTCTTCCTTCCTTGGTGTAGCCAATCCCCTAGGCAGCCCCGGAGTGTTACCAGTCAGCGAAGGAGTGGGCTTTCCCCCAGGCTCCTCACCCTTCCCCACCCCCCTCCCACCTCCACTTTTTGGTTGGCCCAAAGGAGACTCAAGTTCAAGTTGTGAGCGGTGGCTGTGTGTGCACCCAGACACCTCCCCTCTGACACCCTTGGGACACTTGGACATTCCTGTTTATTGTTCACATATTCACATTCCAACCCAGCACAGTCACATGCATACTCGTAGATTAAAAAACAAAACAAAACACAAAACACACAAAAACCTTCCGGCCACAGCCCCAGGAGCCCGTCGGGGGCGGAGCCAGCAGGGCAGGGGCCGGGCCACCGCAGGCTCCTCCCACTGAGCCACCCCGCGCTCAGCGTCGCCGGCAAAAACACCAAGAGCTGGCGGAGGGGTGGCTCTCCGGGGCGCCAGGGTGAGCGGAGGGCTGATGACAGGCAGGCGTGGGGGTGGAGGGTGGATAGGGACTTCCCATCGGAGCAAGAGGTATCAGACGCCATAAAATCTCTCTTCCCTTCTCTCCTCGCTCCAGATGCAAAGTTCTGGGCCTGCACGAGGGCGAGGGGGCGAACGGCACGGAGAGGAAAGACGCCCCCTTCAGCTGGGCGGGGGAACTAACGGGCTTTTTTTCAAGTGCTTGTCCTCGGCAGCGTAGAGGGTCGGGCGCCCTCTGCCGGGCACTCGGGGGATCGCCCAGGAGGCGGTGGAGGCAGAACTGCATGCAGGTGCGGGGAGGCGGGGAGAAGGCCGGGAAGGGCGCTCGGGGAGTGCGGGGTCAGGGGCTTAGGGTGGGGAAGGAGGGCGAACGGGACTCCCCTGGGATGGAGGACCCAATGAAAGGGCACGGGCTCGGCGACTCCTCGACGGAGCCTGCCTGGGCGGGAAGGAGAGGGAAGGGTCACAAACACTGCAGGGAAGTCGCGTCGCGGCGGAGGGGTCGCGGCATCCATCTCTCCTAGGGAGCTGAGGACAGAGGAGGTCTGAGCACCTGCCCTGTCCGGGGCTTCCTCTCCCCCTTCCCAGGCCGGGACAACGCGGCGGGAGCGCCAGGGGGGCCCCAGGCAACCCGGACCCCAAGCCCCACCGAGTCACGGAGCTGCACCCGGGCGCGGCGGGCAGGTGCGCCAGAGCCCGGGGCCGCGATCCAGCAGCCAAACCGAGTGACTGCGTGTCTGTGCGGGGTCAGGGGTGCCCCCATCGCAGCCTCGGGCGTCAGGATGGATCAGAAGTCCCACCCCCTACCCCCAGTTGCACGGTGCATTTTCCGGCGGCGCCGGGAGGGGTGAGGGTGGGCCGAGGGAAGGGATGGGGACTGGACCCTTTTCTCCCTCCCACTCGGGTTCCCACCCCACCGCCGCCAGGTCGTCCCGTTACCTTCGAGAATACTCAGTTCTTCGGTCCGGGGGAGGAGGGGCAGAGAGGAGCGTGGAGAGAGGAATACGTGAGCTCTCGGGTCTGCAGCGCCCTAAGCTCTCTTCCTCGCCCCCCCTCCACCTCCCATCCCATATTTCCAGTCCCCCCACCCTTAGCTTCCCAAACCCCCTCGGTCTGCCTGGCTCCTTCGGAGAGGATCCCGGGGCTGGGGGGTTGGGGTGGGGAGAACCCGCTCACCTGGCCTAGTCTCCGCTGGGGCCGCCGCCCGCGCCTCCCCGCGCGCCCCCGGCTCCGCCTGGCCCCCCGGGGCCCGGGCCCTTCCGGCCGCTCTCCCGGCTCTTGATCTTCTTTCTCGCCATGTGGCCCCGGAAGCTCGCCTGGATTTTGGCGGCGGCGGCGTTGGCGCCGGGGTCATCCAGGGGGATGTCCAGGATGTCCTCGTCCGGCTTGGAGCAGGCGCTCTCCTGGGGGCGGGGCGGGGGCAAGAAGCGCAGGGAAGGTGTGGTGAAGGGTTAGGGCCGGTGTGTGTGTGTGTGTGTGTGTGTGTGTGTCCCTCCTGGGTAATGGCTGGAATTAAGGACAGTTCCACGGTTCAGGTGGACACAGAAGCGCGTGGTGGGATGAAATGCCAGGCAGCCAGGGACCTCCGAGTGGCCAAGGGGCCCATCGCCGTCAGTGGAGATGGGGAGCTGCAGAGCGGACCGGAGGGGATGGGGTCGGAGGAGCCATGTGTACTGCAGGCACCCCTGGGTGTGGCCGCCTGTCCCTGTCCTCAGGGGGGCCTCCAGCTCAAAGGGCCCCTCCCTGCTGTCGTCAGGATATTGTCTACCTCTGTGGGTTGTGAGGAAGAATAAACAACACGATAGGCATAACATTTCTGGCACAATCTAGGTGTGCGATCAGTGGCAGATATTACTAGAATTCGCTTGAATAATGAGTTGATGGGAACTAGTTGTTTAATAATGTCAGCCCAACCAGCATGGCGGCTCGGTGGTTGAGCATCAACCTAAGAACCAGGTCAGGGCACATCCCAGGTTGTGGCTCCATCCCCAGTTGTGGGGCGTGCAGTGGGCAGCCCATCAGTGATTCTCATCATTTATATTTTGATCTCTCACTCTCTCTCTCCTTCTTCCTACCTCTCTGAAATCAATGAAAATATTTTTTTAAAAATGTCATATGGTTCAACTTAACAATAATCAGACTCACCCCACACCCCAGCTTTCGGTGTCTCCCCCAGCCTGCCCCAGCTGAGCGTAGGAAGGGGCAGGGAACTGATTGGCCACAGTGATTTCAGAGGCAAGGCTCCGGCTGGGAGAGGGCCTCAGCCCCTGGCCCCTGTGTGCTCGGCGTTAATGTAGGTTGGGATCCAGATGGTTACTCTGAAGTCAGAAGAGCATTTCTCCTTGGACCTAACCCTCTGGCTTCTAGGAATCTGCCCTCATTTGTTTAGCCCGAGGATTCCCACTGCTCTCACTGGGTTTGCTCCCTGGGTGTTCGAGGACCAGATCTCACATAGTCATCCTGTTCTATGCGGTCGTGGGGATCAGTGCGGCTTCAGTGACCACCAGCCCAACCAGGTCCTGCCCCAGATCAAAACCCCAGAGGTCTAAGCACAGATGTGCAGACCCCTTTCCTCGCCATGCTTCCGAAGGCACTCTCGGTTTCATAGGTCTCAGAGTTCTTTGGTGTGTGCCCATCGGTAGTTAAATGCAGTGACAGGGAATTATCAAGGGGCCAGTGTGATCATGAAGGGCCTGGCACACTTTTTGTGTCGTGTGTGTGTGTGTGTGTGTGTGTTTGTGTCTCTCCCCCCCACATCTTATTCCCCACCTAGAAACCAAAGTGACGCTGCTTAAGCCTTTCTTGGGATATTCTCAGGGAACTGGGAAGTTTCTCCTCAAAAGAAGAAAATGAGCCGAAACCGGTTTGGCTCAGCGGATGGAGCGTCGGTCTGCGGACTGAAAAGCCCCAGGATCGATTTCGGTCAAGGGCGTGTACCTTGGTTGCGGGCACATCCCCAGTAGGGGGTGTGCAAGAGGCAGCTGGTCGATGTTTCTAACTCTCTATCCCTCTCCCTTCCTCTCTGTTTACAAACAAAAACATGAGAGGATCTTCCAGACAAAATAGAATGTGGAAAAAAAAAAAAAAGAGAATGACCAAGGACACCAGCCCCAGCCCACCTCTCCCCAGCTGGAACTGAGGAAGGCCTTTCTTTCCCCAGCAACACTGACACTGACCTATGGCCGCCACCCCTCCCGGCTGGAACACCTGGGGTAACTGTGTGTTCGCCTCTTCTGCAGTGGTTAGAGAGCAGCTTCTCCTTTTTTTTTCAGGGGACTCTCCTTCCCGACATGCCTACCAGCCACTCAGTTTGGCTATCTGGGCACTCAAGAGCACGGTCAGGGCAAACCAGGGCCCACGGGCAGAGACCCAACATTCTACCCTGATTTCTCCGCAGGTGCCAACTGAGGTGAGCTCACGCCTTCCCCAGCCTCTTGGGTTCTGTGCTGTCTCACCTCTTCTCACTCACCGTGCTGCCTGCTTTCCCTTCCCCGTCATTCTTCCCATCTCGGCAATGTTGCCCCTCCCCCCACACTCCACATACGCAGAACCCTCCATCCACGTATTTTCTCTATAAAATACGGTTTCGGGTAAGGAGCCCTTCCTCGGTGGAACCCAAGAGCCTCCATTAAGAGCCCAGTCCTCCTTCCACAACCAAAAATTGCTTCCTGGAGAATAAAAGGAAAAGACCGGAGTGAAAAATGTTATCAGGGCATTTCCAGGGGGTGGGGTTGTAGATGATTGACAGGTTTCTTCTTTACGCTTATCTTTAGTTCTTACGTTTTCGCGTGTGAGTAAATCACCTTTTATAATGAGGAAAATAGTAAATATGTAGAGGGGAGGCAATGCATTTGCGCCAGACAAGGCTATGTTGGAGCCCCGCCTTCACACTTAGAAGCTGTGCCTCCATGGACAAATCATTCAATCTTTCTAAACCTCAGTTTGCACATCTGTAAAATGGGGACAATAATATCTACCTCATGTGGCCACTGTGATGATGAAATGTAAACTATTAGGTACATGGTAAGCATTTGCAACCATTATTAATATTATTAATATTAACATGAGTTGAAATCATCGTAACATCCACAGCGACTTGAGATGTCAAGTTCTTAATCCTAAATTCCCTCTGCCTCTTGCTACCCAGTTATAAGGAATTCTCCCCTTTTATAACCTGGGCTATCCTTTCCTTCCTAACCGCGCTCTTTTTCTTTTCTTTTTTTAAGGGTGGCGGGTGGGGAGCAAGCAAAGTCATAAACTCTTGTATCATTGGTGGGGCCGCCTGAATAGCTGAGAATGCACGGACTTTGCAGTAGTCTTTCTCCACACGTAGGGGCTAACAATTGATCATTTGAAAAAGAAAAACAAATGTTACGTAGGTCTGATCGTCGTACTCCTCTAGTGAGCCAGGCACTTTCCTACCAGAGTCCCCCGGAGAGCAATCTACTTGGATGTGAGGCCCTTGCGCATGTGGGTCTCCGTGGGCGCTGACAAGCTGCAGACACTTCCTCCTCTCGCCAGCAGGGCTCTCTCGCGGTCACCCAGTCCCCTCGGGGCTCAGGCGGCGTTGGGAGCCGGGCCAAGCCCTCCCCAGAACCACACAGATTAGGCTCTTTGCTGTCCCAGCCTCATCACTAAGCTAACCAGCATGCACGGGCTCTCCTAACCCTGCGTCACACGGGGGATTCGAGGCTCCGGAGGGTCATCCCGGGCGCCCGCCCACGTCGGCGGCAGTGGGATGGGGAACGGGTTGGGGGCCGTGAAAAGAGTCAGAAGGGAGCCGATGCAGCATCCCTAGGCGATGGTTTCTACCCGCTCTCCAGGGGGGGGGGGGGAGTTTCTCTTTTCCTCCAACCTGCAGCTTCCCTGCTCTGCAGAGCCACGCCGAGCTCCCAGTCCCACCCCAGACCGCCTGGAGGATGGGCGCCCAGACGCCCGGACGCCCCCGCAAACTGGGGAGCATTTTCCTAGGGCTGCCAAGGCAGGCGGGTGCCTTCCACCGCCCTCCACCGGGTCTCAGCAGGCACACACACCTATAGCTGCTCCCAGGTCTCGGCACCCACTCCCCTCTCTCCCTGCCCCTGCCCTCCAGGGGGATCCCAGGACTCTCCCTGCCCCAGACCAATCCGGGTGCCCGTCCCCCGGGCCCTCTAACTTACCGTGCAGCAGTCCATACTGGTGTGTTTTTTTTTTGGGGGGGGGGGTTCTCGCCTGGGCGGAGCTGGCGCGGGGTGGGGGTGGGGGGTTCGAGGGGTGCCTGGTGGAGCCTCGGGGGGCCGAGCAGAGCGGGCTGACCCGCGCCGAACCCTCCGCTGCGCTCCCGGTCCCGCTCTCCCGCGCTCGGCTCCGCTCGCGAATGTAACCTGAGCCCTGAGGCCTGGCAGCCAATCGCGAGTCTCCTCGGGCAAGGTGGGCGGGGAAAGCTGGGGGGATGGCCACGCCCCCCTCCGCCTTGCTCCCAGCTCCTGCCCCAGCCCCTCCTCCCACACGTTTCCATCCACTCCTCCTACACACTCCTCCTCCCCTATCCAGCCCCTTGCTGCTGCTGAGGCGGCAGACTGCCAGGCAGATGGAGGTTCTCTCTCCCCCCCCCCCCCCCACACACACACACATCCAGGCGCAAACACACATCTGGGCACAGCACCCTCCCGCCCATAGATGGAAAACACCCCTCCCCACCTCCTCACACTTCCACAACCTAGCCAGAGGCCCCCCCTATAGGGCTCCCTCTAGCTTCCCGCCCGCCTCTGTCCTCAAAGAAAAGCCCCAAATACAGTGTGGTTCAAAAACCCCACCAACACACAGCCGCGGAATGGAGAACGCTGTCGGTACACAACCGCCTCGTGGACGCACAAACACAAATGTTCACAAGCCCACGTGTCCTATAGATGGTTCCCCCAGGTTCACTAAACTGTGCACCGTCAACCTGCGGACCCTACAGGCACAACCTGCAGGAATAACCACGCAGACCTCTCTACAGGGGCAGCCGCCCTCACCACATGTAATGTCTGCATTCCATTTCTACGATCCACCCTTCTCTCTCTCCGTATGCGTCTCTCCAAAGCCTTATGTGCACAGCACTCGTTTTGTATGCATCTACATATGGATACTGACTTGGGGAAAAGACCCTTTCCTCCCGATTTCCGTACCGTAGGCTCCCTAATCTCTCCATCCACTGCTTCCGAGAAAGAGGAAAACTGGCCACTCTCACTCTTCCCCCAGGAAGACAGATACCCCAAACCCCAGCACAGGCACTGAAGCTCTTTGGGTCCAGGAAGGAAGAATGTGGGCTCCCCAAGAGGCTGGGAAGGGGAGATATGGCCGAAACATCTAGGAAGAGCAGCCACCAGTCTTGTGGCCTCCAGCCTCCTCCACCCTGTCCTGGTTCTAGAGCATCAGTGAGGCTTGTCCTATGGATTGGGTGGGCCATGTTTGAAAAACCTATTCCGTCTTTTGCCGCTAACATCCCACAGGAAGGAAGGAAGGAAGGAAGGAAGGAAGGAAGGAAGGAAGGAAGGAAGGAAGGAAGGAAGGCTGCTCCTCAGGCCTGTTGACTGAGACAGAACCAGGAGGAAGCATGCTCTGGGGACATGGCTGGGACCAAGGAGTCTGACACTGCCCTGCCGTGAGTCCTCAGCTGCTGGCCCGTCAGAGTGTGGCTGCTCCAGGTGGCCTTCCTACCTGCACGTTTGCACCGTGGGCTTTGCTTGCCAAAGGGAAAAGGAGCGGGAGGAGGGACATTCCGGTGGCCACTCGTGATGTAGACAGGGTTGTTGGCCAGCTTGGGCCCCCCCGCCCCCGAGCTGAGCTGGATGCTGGCTGGGGTTCCAGGGCGAGGGGTGTCAGGGTGTCTCTCTCCCAAGCATGGTTGGGACCCACCCACCTTGTAGCTGAAAATCTGTTTTCCAATCTGTCCCTGGCACGTCCTCCATCCCCCACCTCCACCAAATGGCAGGATGTCCCCGGGGACACTCAGGCCCTGGCCCAACTGATGTGCGCAGCTGGGCCCTTGAGTCATGCCACTTCCGGTTGGACTTGAACTCCAGACTCTAGAGAGGGGGGGGAAAGGAGGAAACTGGGGGCAGAGTGGATACCAGGCCTGGACCCTGTGCTTTTTTTCTCTTCCCAAATTAGAAGTCGGGATTTAGTGAGTTTGCAGGAAAGTCTCCCAAGTTGCTAGGCAACGGTCCCTCGGCAGCCTGCGTGCGCTGCCTCTGGGCGCCCTTCCTGCTGGTCAGAGTTGAAGGGGAGAGGGTATCCTTGCATCCAGACTCCCACACGGGCAGCACAGTCCTCCCCTCTTCCCAAAAGGCACTTCTGTGTGGGGCGAGGGTGCCTCTCAGCACCGGCGGCCCGTGGGGGACCAGGTACAGCAACTGTCAGGTTTTCATCCGCCAAACAGCCAATCCAGCAGCAGCCCACTTGAGGCGCCTACGCGGGGAACTGGCCAGGAGCTTGCCCTGGGGGATGGGCAGGCTCTGGGGCGAGGAAGAAAGGTAGAGAGGAAGACAGAGACCGTGATGAGGAGGCAGACAGGTGCAAACTCAAACATCCATAACACATCTATATAGACCCAAAAGCGCAGACACACATCCTTGCCCATGCCCAGAGGCAGACGAAGCCAGGGACACGGTTCCTCTTCTGGACCAGGAGGCCAGGTAGATGGGCGGGGTCAAACTCTGAGCCTCTGAGCCTCCAGTGGATGCGCTAGGAAAAGGGACCTCAGCAGCAGGAGCTGGGGAATGGCTGCCTCGCTCTGAGACTCTGGACCCTTTTTAAAAATATATATTTTATTGATTTTTTTATTGATTTATTTTTTTTACAGAGAGGAAGGGAGAGGAATAGAGAGTTAGAAACTTGAGAGAGAAACATCAATCAGCTGCCTCCTGCACACCTCCTACTGGGGATGTGCCCGCAACCAAGGTATTATACATGTCCTTGACCGGAATCGAACCTGGGACCCTTCAGTCCGCAGGCCGAGGCTCTGTCCACTGAGCCAAACCAGTCAAGGCGAGACGCTGGACCTTTCAGAGCTGTGCCACGTGACACTCCCCTCTGAGGAGTCATAGGGGAACGGCCTTGGTGTCAAGTTCAGCTCTAGGAGAATTACCTGTTACTAACTCGCTGCGCCTGGGGCCTCCTTGACTCTTCCATTTCCAAACCTCGCGGCCCCCGCAGCCACAGGAGGAAAAGGTCCTCAGGCAGATGAGCTCCAGAAGGGCCAGAGGAGAGAGGGAGCCGGGCCTGTGGGTGGGCTGGGCCCAGCAAGGAGGGAGGGGCACTGCCTAGAAGCCCAGGCCAGGAGGAGGAGGTGGTTGGACGAAAGAGAGGATGAAAGATGGACTCGTGGGAAGCTTCTGGGGTACAACACAGATCCTTCTTGGGACAGATGGAGGGGATTTGGAGAGGGTTCGGTCCTTGGAAGCGGAGAGAAACGCCAAAGAACATGGCAAGCTATTTGCCAATGCTCGTGGCTCCCCCTCCTTGGTGTAGGCACCATCTGAACAGAACACCGCAGCTCAAGCCCACAGAGGGGTGCCATGTCCAGGAGAGGCTTGTGCCGTCGGAGGAGCCGATCTGGGGGCTTCTTAGGTCAGGATTTTACCCGTTTGAGTGGAAGGCGTGGAGGTAGCAAAGAAATTCAGTTTTCTGTGCAAATATTTCAGCTTTGCTGTGGTAGTATTTTTAGCAACTCGGTTGGCAGAGGAGGAGCCCAGGCACATTTTTAAAGGGGCCGCTGCCAGACTGGAGGCCTCCTCCCACCCTCACCCACATATCATGAAGGAGAAGGGGAGCCGTGCAGGGCTCTGTGTGTGTGTATGTAAACGTAAAGCGGGTTCGCTGGACATTCGATGACTAGTAGCTCATCTTCGCCAACAGTTCTTACAAATCCCCGTCAGCATCGTCCTTCTTAGCAGCATTATCAGGGAGAGTAAATACGTCTGAACTCTGCAGGGCACTGCTAGGGACCCATGACGAAGGCTTCATGTAACGGCCTGGTAAGACTGGAGGCAGCCGGCTTCTGAGCAAGCACTGGGCGTCGAGTGCTGTGTTGGGCACACTGTCTGTGCCATTACCGTTCATTCCTAAAACACCCCTGTGCGCTGGCAGTATGTCTCCTATGTTACAGATGGATGATGAAGTGAAGAATTCTAGGGGTTAATACCTTGCCCAAGGCTACACAGTCAGAGGAACACTCAGAGCAGAATAATAACGTTATCCTAAATCTTAATAGTGCTTTACAAAGTGCTTCCACCTCCATCATTTAATTTTGAGGGAGCTTTCGTCATTAAAAAAAATATATATATATTTTATTGATTTTTTACAGAGAGGAAGGGAGAGAGATAGAGAGTTAGAAACATCGATGAGAGAGAATCATTGATCAGCTGCCTCTTGCACACCCCCTACTGGGGATATGCCCGCAACCAAGGTACATGCCCTTGACCGGAATCAAACCCGGGACCTTTCAGTTCCCAAGCCGACGCTCTATCCATTGAGCCAAACCGGTTTCGGCCATTCGTCATTTTTAACCCCTTTCCTGATGAGGAAACCTCAGTGTAAAGTAACTTGTGACTTGTCCAATGTCAGACATCTAGTGCAGTGGTCGGCAAACTCATTAGTCAACAGAGCCCAATACCAATAGGACAATGACTGATATTTCTTTGGAGAGCCACATTTTTTAAACTTAAACTCTATAGGTAGGTACATCGCTATGAATTGAATCAGGGTACTCCTGAGCTGGCCTTTGCTAAAAACTCAAGGGGCCAAAGAGCCGCCTGTGGCTCTTGAGCTGCAGTTTGCCGACCATGGCGCTAGTGACTTGCAGGAGTAGAGCTTAAATACACAGGAATTCTGACTTTAAGTTCCGTGCACATTCACCTCGAAACTGCTGTGTACCACTTGCCCGGGGCCGGGTGGAATGGGTCACTGTGATTACAAATCAGATGTAGTCTCTTCCCTCTTGGATCTTACAGTGTGATGGTAAAAATAGGCATGGATGTGCGCACATATATCTGTATAAATATGTATCTATGTATGCGATGTATTTCTATTTTCTAAAGTAATGATCAGTCCAAACGCATGGTGCCGACGGTAAATGGTATGGGAGCTGTGGTGTGGGAGACTGTGATTGAGAATTTGGACGATCAAGGAAGGGTTCCTGAAGAAGGATGGT